CAATGGACAACAATCAATGGTCGAAAACCAGTTTTAAGAGGTCATACACTTGTGGTTATACGATATAAATGAAAACTGTCCTCTAGTTAAACAAGTTTTTTTAATTAATGACAATTATAATATTTTTTGTGTACAGTCGAGTAAATTTAGCTTAATTATTCTTTAATAAAATATTAACAAAATTCAATATTGCTCTATTTATTAATGTTAAATTAAAATTTTGTATATAAACTATTGTATAATAAACAAATTTAATTAAGAGATGTCATTGATTTTTAAAATGAGACATTTTAAAAAATTATAAATTGTAAAATTTATATTTTAAATATACTTTAAATTAGTATGTATTTATATACAGAAGTATATATGTATTTATATATTATAATCGATAAATCTCTTATATATCATTGTTAATAAACTGTAGTATATGTGTCTACGGTTTCATATATCAGACACACCTTTCAACACTTGAACTATTTCAACAAAGAGCTGTTCATATCATCACTTCCTCCTCAAGTGATGAAGTGATGACTTAACAAAATTGTTGCAAAGACTCGCATTGAAACTATTATTCAAAATATGTGACTATTTTTTGTATTTTTATAAACTTATATCTCAATCAATAGTAGGGATTTAGATGTAATAACTTTTAAAACCAATTAACACCCGATTGGTGGACAACAATGCGGTGGAAATATAATCTGAAAAATATCTCAAGAGTTTTATAAACCCATTTTATTTTGGTGTTAAGTTTTTTTTATTCAACTCAATATTATTACTTTATAAATATACTATTCATTAAACTATTAAATTAGTATCTTTTATCGGTATATATATATTAATAATTTTTATTTTACTTTATTTTATTATACAGTATTAAAATAAAAAGTGTAACATTTGTATTTCAATTATGATTTTTAATTTTTGTACAATATTTTGACAATTGAAAAATTAACATTTATTTTAAGTGATTGATTAATCGTAACTTTGAACTAAATTTGGTGATCAAATCAAATAAAATTTATTAATTAATTTTATATGTAATAAATTTTTATAAATATCTTCGATCTATGTATTAGTTAGTAATTTGTTAAAGCGATGGATCACTTAATGACTTTAAAAAATAGGATTTATACCGATTTTTGTGAAAACAACAAAACACTTATTATTAGTGATGTCTCTAAACTCTAAAGCGATGTTCACTACATTAGTCTCTGATTACTTCAAATCGACTCAAACCTAACAAATGGATCTCATTTACAGAGATTTAGTTTTTACAGTCAATCACACAATCAAATGAGTGTTCCCTTCCAGTTGTGTTCACAGTCTTAACTCATATCACATAATAATAATAACATAATAACAGGATTTAACTAATTTTAACTATACTTCAATGTCTCTCTGAGCTAAAAGAGACAGTAATAAATAGATAGACAGATAGACAGATAGACAGATAGAGAAAGCAATATCTAAGTTTTAGAGAGAGTTTATATTATTTAATTAATAACTTCACTAAAAATAATACTAAATTTATTGTATTTTTTATTTAGATTTTGTTTATTAAAACTATTTACTGTATTTGTGAGTATATTAAATATAAATTCATTATTACCGGTATATAATTAAAAATCACAATTCAAACTAATGATTTCAAATGTAACCAAAAAGTAATTGATAATTAAACTTGAAATCAAACATCATTTTGAAATCAACTTTTTTATGTAACAAAATCTTTTTACATTAATAGTACACTAATTTGTATAAACTGTAAATTTTATGTTATATTAATATTGAAAAGATCTGTAAAATCACATTACAGTAATTAAGTACAGTATATGTTAATAATATACACTATACAGTACTAAATTAATACAAACTACTGTATAATTTAATATGTATTTGTGAATAACAATAATTATTATTATATTTATGGTATACATTTATTATATGACAAAATCATACATTATTAATACTGTAAGTATTTACAGTTTACTTTATTACCAAAATTATCAAAAATAGTATTATTTAAAAGCAAATACTATTGCTTTTAAAACGTTTTGATGCATAAAATTTTTATTTAAAAAAATTCACAAAATTTACAGCAAATAAAATAACATGTCATTAATTTACTAATAATAAATTATTTCTTAATATTATATTGTGTTTCCAAATGCATTGTCATATTTATTAAATATTATATGAAAAATAGTTTATTAAATACAGCGAACAGTTAGACAGTTACTGAAGTGTAAGGTGTGGACAACTAATTTATGTAATCAATACATCAATTATACACAAATCTATTGACTTGTTTTTCCCAGTATTTCAAACATTTTTTTTAATACAATGACAGGTATGGGAATCACATTATTTAAGTAATAGTTATGTGATTATTATTATATAAATCATATCCAATGAGACGTCTATTTAGGTTTTTTTGCCATATATTCAAAGCCATCAATCAATACGTGAACTCATTATTTTGCAATATATTTAGTGAATAGATCGAGAAATCATACATTGATTATCAATCAGTTGTATTTGTATATCATTTATTATTTTATTACTATATAATTATGAATCAAATCTATTATTAATGTTATATAATAACACATTCATAGGCATACAGTAAATTATGTACTGTATGTATTTAAAAATTACTAATTTAGTTTTTTAATGTAAAATTAAATTTAAAACTATAATTTTGTGTATTTCTAATTTATACTTGTTAATGATATTTAATTATTGTAAATATACTGTAAAATGTAATTAATATATGAAAAAAACAAACAAAACTGGCAACAGATATAAATCGATATTATATGTTTAATTAAAAAATAAAAATCAATTAAATTAGACAAAACAAACAAAATTTAATTAGTGTAAGATATTTTAATTAAGTGTTTTAAATTTATATTGTTTACAATATACAGTATTTGAAATCTTACATAAAATAATTAACTCATTTATTTTAATATAATTGATAATTATCATTTTTAGTTTTTATTATTTGGTCATTTGAATAAAAATAAAGACAATTTATTCTTATACTGTATTTTAAATTATTTTTTATTAAGTATGTCAAATATTAAAATATTAATAAAAAAATAAGTAATATAAATATTATATATAATGTTATAATTTTTATTCTTTATATTATTGAATATAATATATATATATATATATATATATATATATATTATAATTATTACATTTTGTTTTATAAATAGTTAATATTAGTTAAGTGATTGATTACTCATTTAAATAAAAAAAATAATGTTTATATTAAAAGATCCGCGAAATTCGTGTTTAACGCAAATCACAATCACTTGAAGCTACTGTTCCTCCCGTTTCTTACTTACTGTATATTGTAGTACAGTGTATACATACATAAGTTACATATTCTCATAGGATAATGAGTTTTATATTCACATGAAAGTTACGGATAATTTTCTTTTAATTTAACCGAAAAACATGTAAAATAACTAAATAAACTAAAAATAACAAAAATGTTGTCATAAATTATATTAGAGTGAGAAAAAATATGATAAAAATGCTATTTATATGTAGTTTTATATCAATGAGAGACCAAAAAGTATAGTTTTTTCTGATATTTCAGTGGTCGTCAACCGTAACCGTAAAAACGATCACACATTGGGCTATAATATCATTGTCTAACTCTCTCTCTCTCTCTCTCTCTCTCTCTCTCTCTCTCACACACACACACACACACACACACACACACACACACACACACACACACACTTATAAACTAAATTGTCAATTATTAGCCGCTTATGTATCTTTCTCTCATTGGCTTTTCTCATGACTGACTCTCGGGCTCACACTTCAAATATATTTTTATGACTTCCCCTCCACTTTTTAATATAGCATTTATTAACCCTTTTTAGTCAATAGATTGCATGCATTTTTTAACTGTTGAGGTAATCGACCATTAATTTGCAACACTACACACCATCGCCTTAACAATAACAGTAATCATAAATATAATATATATAATAACAATAAAAACTAATAATAAGTTTAAATGTATGGCTCGTGGTTACCATTAAGACATTAACATCACTGGAGAGATGTTTTGGTGAATATAAAACACGGGACACGACTTACCATAAAATTGTTAACTATTTCTTTATTTTGCTGTTGTTATGCTTTGCAAACCATATATATAACAAAAATAATTACACAGACCTTAATGTAAACCTTTAATATAATCCCAATGTATTGCCATTTTAAAAGGCATTATCACAAATAGATATTACATGAATTTTCATATTTTTATTTTTTAAATTACATTTAAATAATATTTCATAAATATTAAAAAAGTATTCTTACTTTAGTATTATTACTTAAATATAAAAGTATTAATTAGTTTGTATATAATTTTTATATTTTTAAATAAAATAATTTCCAGTATTTTGAATTAACAAACGTATTGATTACTTTTAATGTTATTTTATTTTTTAATGTAAAGTTATACAGTAAACAATCAAACAATCATCACAATAAGTAATATTTAAAAATCTAGTTTTATATAATAAAATATTTTATAATAATTATTTGATCAAAAGAGATTTAAGTAAATATCAAACAATATTTATGTTTATAAAAATAAATATTAATGCATACAAAACCATTTCAAATACACTTTAAAAATATGACATTAAATTTTATGAGCATTAATATAAAAGTTAATTTAAAAATTTGTTTATATCAGCGTTTAAACCATTAATTATAAGATTTAAAAAATATATTTCAATGTAAACTCATATATTTTCTTTTAAATAAAATTAATTTACTAAAAATAAAATTAAAATTAATTACTTAAAAACAATTAAAACAAATAACATCACAAAACATAACAAACAATTTATAATATTATGAGATAATGATAGTATATTTATAAATAAATGATATCAACTAAATTAAAATATTTAAAAATATATATATTTAACTATAAAAATAGTGATTTAATTGGGAAAAGTAGTTGAATATCATTGAATGAGTAGTGTTTGACTATTTTGAATGACTGAATCGTGAACTGTGGCACAAATGTGAGGATCGGACAGTTTGGTAAAAAAACTCATTTTTTGTAGCATTTGTGAGACAAACTGAGAGCACTGACAGATAATCACTCGGATGTTCAACTCATCCAACTCTTCAATGCAGTCGATCAGTGTCTCGACACCAGTGCTGTCGATGAAGAAAACACTGGAAAAGTCTAATATAATTGTGTGAATCGTTGACTTTCCTTTTATTAGCCGATCCATCTCATCGCTAGTCAATCAATATAAATATAATATATTATAAGTTTATATTTTATATGATTTATATATATATATATATATAATATTACTTAATTATACTATTGATATAAATTTATATTTATTTAAACATTTATTTATATATGATTACTTACGTGGAAACATTCAGCGTTTTCTTAAACAAATTTGATTTAAAGTTTTGTGAATTCATAAAAAATAACGGACAATGAAACTGAAAAATTTTGATCCCATTTATCTGTTTTGCTTCACTAAACTCATTGGTGTCCACATATATCTCACTAAAGGCCAACTGACCATTGATTGTGGACTTTGGCCTTAAAATAAAATACAATACAAGTATAAAATATAAGTGTATCTAAAAATATTGCTATAAATCATACAATTTTTGGTGTTTTGGGAAAAACATAACAAAAATCAGACATTTATTTTTTTTGTAAAGCTTTACTATATTTTAGATCACTTAAGTATTATAAAAGTTTGTGTGTGTGTTATATTAGTCGTATAAAAGTTGTTAGAAACATATGAAATATATGGCATATAAAAAAATAATATAAAATAAAATAAAAGTTAAAATACATAGCATTTGTGATTAATGCCAACTAAATCTTAGAAAATTAATTGAATGGCAGTTTTGATCTCAAAAACTATTTATGCATAAAAACATAGTTTGCTATTTATAGAAATCTATAAATTATCAAGGACATGTATGATTTATAGCTGGGATGACTTATATATATATATATATATATATATATATATATGTTTGTGTGTATGTATGTGAATAAGGAGTAGCAAAAAAAAGAGCGCTTACATTGTAAATCTGAAGAGAACAGTTAGTATTGAGAAACCTATGCCAACAATGAGGCCTATGTCCACACCAAGCAATACAACACTCAAGAACGTAATCAACCAAACCAACTAAAAAATAAATTATTATTATTATTATTATTATTTTATTACAAAAAAATTGTTTTAACATTTTATTAATAACTCAAATTATAAGAATATTCAATGATTTATGTCTTAAAACACTACAATTAAGTCAAAAATATCATAATTTTAAATCAAAGAATATTATAATTATTAATAGTAAAAAATATAACAATTTTATTTTAAGCTTATATACATTAAAATATGAATATTTTTTAATACTTAAAATAATTCATTTTTGAAATATTTATTTAAAATGTAAATAAATTGTTAACTTTGTGAGACTGTACTATAAGCTCCATTAGCTCAATATCATTGAACAGACTTATAATATAAAATGATATACTGTATGTAATTTTTAACCTCTGATTTTCAAAATGATATTCAATTCAAAACATTTATATCCAAAAGAAAAATATTTTTATTTTTCAAACTTTCAAATCGGAAATAAAATTTCTGATGTAAATTTCAATAGTAAATCCATATATAATATTAAAAATTTATTCTTAAAAGAGTAAAAGTTTATATAATATTAGAGTTTTTCCAAAATATTCATATATTGATACAAATAGTATTAATATTTGGTTGACATAAATGTTGAAAAATCTTGCCGTCTTTATAAAAATGTAAATTATCCTTAATGCTACAAATATTAGCATGATCATTTATTTAAACACAATTGTGTTATGTGACAGATTTACATATATAAATTATTTTATAATTTCAATTCATACAACTTTTACCCTAAACGACACAAATAATATTTTCATATATTTTCAGTAAAATCGATATTTTTATTACTATATTATATCAAATATTCATGTATATAATGATATAATAATTAGTGTTAATTTATACATAAAAATTAATTGCTTTAACCGTTACGAATGAAAACTATGTGGACTAATATTTCAGTTCACTTTTTAAATTATTTTATTACATTTTTGCCAAATATATTAATTTCTGTGAAAAACTAAAATAAGAATATATTTTTGTGATATTAATAATATACTGAAAGTAATGTATAGTTATAAAAGTTATTAAATAAATTTACACTATACTGTCATATTGTATTATGTTAAGACAATATAAATAAATGTATTTTATATGCACTATAATTAATTTAAACATAATTTTAGTTAAATTTCTATTAATATCATTCTTAACATTACGTTAAATAAAAAAAGTTAATTCACAGTCAAAGCGTTTTGCAGATTTGATCCTTTATTTTTATTTTTATTATTATTATTATTTTGTTTGTTTGTTTTTAGGCTATTAATTAATTTAGTTTCTATTAATATATATATTTTCAAACACTACATTCATTATTTACTATATCTCAAGCTATTGTTAATTCAAGAAATATAATATATATACTATTTATTATGTATATACTATAAACTCTCTTTACTTGTGTGTCTGTCTCTCATTAATTGCATGAATGAATAGATACAACATTTTTAATCATTGAAAATAGTTAAAAACAATTTCTCTTTTTTCAATTGCAAAACAATATATTGTATTTAAATTGTGAAAATGTTTTGCGCAGCTTAACAAGTATTGTACAGTTAAATGTCAATGAAATTACTTACGGCCTCTAATTTAGATATTTTCCATGAATTGATTAAATCTTTAAATTGTAGAAACATTGACTTCAGTGCAACCAATATAATGCACGAAAGGGTTGTCTGTTTGAAAAATATAGTTAACAAACAAATTTGTTAGATATTAGGATAAACTCTGATATATATAAAGTCTGATATTTAGACCGACAGTTAGATAAAAGGCGGATATATTAGTGAGTGAATGAATTAAAGAAAAATATATATGAGATCTCATTTAGACATATAAAAGACAACATAAACAGCGATAAATTTATTTAGAGTTTGAGGAAAAAACTAAACTTTTAAATTATATTGTGTTTATGTTTGAATGTTTTAAACATGTTTTGTATATAAAAGTATTATATTAGCAATAATTGAAATAAAACATAATACAATATTATTATCAATGTGTATGTGTAGTTATATTACTGTATATGACTTATTTAGTAATGCAATTATATTTTAGACCAATTTTTATGATGTTTTCAATTATATAAGACTTATATAAGTCTTTATTGTTTACGGATGATATATAAAACTAAAATTTTAATTTCTTAACTAAATGTTTGTGAAAAATGTTTTATTAAATAAATGGCTTCTGAATTAAATTAAATCAGTGAATATTGCAATTGTAAACTATATTACTCTCAATTTGTATCACTTTTTATCTCTTTAAAAACATTTATTATTTTAAACAGATTGCATGGTATTTACAGTTATACATATATTTTGCCATAAGTTAATGCACTTTATATTTTTTGTTGCTTTTTAAGATATTTTTATTTAAATAATGTTTTCATTGGTTGTGATAAGATTAGTCTTACTTTTGGCAAATGATAGAGAAGTGGTCCCAAAAATAGCAGAAATATTAACATACAGGCGCTCGACACAAGTCCGGCCACTTGAGTGCGTCCACCAGTTTTTTCCTGTACTGAACTCCGTGACAATGAGGCCGATGATGGATAGCATGCAAATAGCGATGCAAATATGTTTGCAGATCCCAGTGCTATGAGCTCCTGGTTGGCATCGATCCTATATTTGTGTTTTTTGGCGAATATCTTGGCTAATGATAGGGAAACGGCAAACGCAACGATTGCTATGACTAACGAGTCAATTATCAGAGATGACAATATATCCAACCGAGGTATACGTGGCTCCGGCAGACTATCATTGTTAGCAACAAAAAAAATGGACACACATTATAACTATTATACTCTTTTATAATTGATTGGCATTGAAGTCTCTCTATTTCTCATCGTTGTGTGTATGTCTGTGTGTGTGTTAGTTATCTACTGTGTTGTGTTGGGTGAGTGATGTGGGTCTGTATGTGTGAGGCATTTATTTTTTGTCAGATAATTCAATTGAAGTTTGTTTTTAACACGACTTTTCAAAAAGTTGTGAACACAACACACACTTGACTGCCGACACTCGGGTTTATCTATTGTGTCGCTAACACTGTTTCTGCCTATCAGTCATTGTGTATAATACATGTCATGAAATAATGTTAACTCAACACTAAATAATAAGACGAATAGGTTTTTCTTAAAAGTTTTGTTATATGATATCAATACTGATAAACACTTTTGATATACAGAATATACTTTATATATACAATGGAAAGTAGTTGTAAAACTTAACAATTGTTATATTGACGAATAAAATACTGTAAAGTGTGGACATATATCTCTATATCTTTCACTATATGTACTCTAATAAGTCTGAATTTCCTGTGATTTCTGATTTTAAATCAATCAAAAATCAACGTGTAGTACATGTTGTAGTTTATATGAATTTATATATACTATATATACTGTATATACTGTATATACTGTATATACTGTATATACTGTATATATTTGTATTAAACTAAGTATATATATTGTATAATATATAATAGTGAGGATAGAGAGTGAGTGTATATTTTGAAAATCAAATTGCTTTGAAAATCCAATTTGACTCCAATGTCTGTCACAATTGATTTTCTATTTTTATATTTGCTTTTATAGTTTCACTGATAATACTATATTACAGTCTTATATATATAACTTTATATATCTCACCATTGATTTAGAAACGCACTCGTCTTATACTAGCTTTAGATTATTTATTGTATTTCATTTATGTTGCCTTTTATTATTATATAACACACGAAACACTATTACAAGAGAGAGAGAGAGAGAGAGAGAGAGAGAGAGAGAGAGAGAGAGAGAGAGAGAGAGGATATTATGATGATTTTTATTTTTATTATTGATTCAATTATTATTCTTGAATGTATGCTTTACTTGTTATTTTTGTTCATATTTTTCAATATACAGTATATGTTATTTCGTGTGTTTTAGAAATAAGGAAAATGTTAAATAGATTTTTCTCTTAATAATACAATATATTAATATATTATGGGATTATATATTATATTTATTTATAATATATGTTTTATATAAATGTTTGCTTAAGTTTTTGATGTTTTAATATTGTTTTTTGTTGTAATTTTCTGGATATATGTTTTGTTAACATTTTGTCTTATTTAAAAATAAAGCAAAATTGATTTTTTATAATGTTTATAGCCTAAGAAAATAAATTGAAATTTGTTTTGAAGTAATTTCCTTACAATTCTCAAAATAATATTAAACTTCTTTAAATAAAAACAATATATTGCATATAATAAAATGTTATTTGCATTTGATTATTTATAATTTTCTATTTAAAATAAAATAAAGTGCACATAACATAATAATTTAAACATACCCTTTAGGTATATCACCCATAATATCAACACTTTGTGTTTTATGCAGATCCATGAGCCAAGAAAACAAAGTAAAACCAATTACCTGTATTAGCAGATTATAATATTTTTCAAGTTTTATATTAATAGAAAAAACTTACAAGTAAAATATCAATGGGGAACGGTATGTTTGTTTTAAATCGTTTTTTAATTTTGGGCTCAATTATCTCTTTAACCAAAACAAGTAGAGATATACCAAAGATGGACAGTCCCAGAGTTACCAAATTTGTGTGAACTAATTGCTCACAAATTGCTACCCATTTCTAAATATATTAATAATCAATTAACATATTATTAATATTAACATATTATTAAATGTACAATTAATATATTTCTACTATTATTAAAACTTAACTATTAATATGTAATTTAATATGTAAAAAATATAATAAACAATCTGATTTTAATTGTGAAATAAATTGACTATATATACGTATAAATATATAGTATACTGTATATTGATCTAAATAATATTGATATTAAAATGATTAACTGTAATTTAAAATATAAATAAAAAAATAGTAAAAAAAATGTTTTTTATACGTTTGGTAATTTAAAGGGTAACCATTTGACATAAACTTTATTTTTTGGTACTTTTATATCAAAAAGATTGCTGAGTTGAGATGTGGCCACTTCTATGGCACAACCGGTCGAAAAGGCCGACACCAGAGTGTCAGATAAGATGACCGATAAGGCGCCCAAACGAACCAAACCCATTGCTGCCTATATAAACATTTAATGTATTTATAATGTATTTTTATGTTATAATTAGATTTGATTTTTTTTTAAATTTGTTTATTTATCTTTTTATAAATTATATAAAATATTTTTTCGTAAATAATAAATTAAGATAATAAATTTTATACCGTAACATTTTTATAAAAAAAGTATCCTAATTTAATAATTTAAAACCAAAATTAGTTACATTTTATTACTTTTATTTGTCTAACTAAACTAATTAAAATTATTATGGCATTTAATGTATAAATATTTTATCTTTTATCATTTTTAAAAATTTATTAATTTATTCAATATGTCAGATAAATTAATTTTGTTTTTTGTCCTAAAAAATATTTTTTGTTTGATTAACATTTTTTATCAAAATTGCTATCAACTGTAATAATTAAAATCATTAAAGTTATAGTTTATTAAATAATTTTCATATTAAATGCTAATATTAATTATAAATAATATTTGACATATTATATTAATATTTAAGTATATCTCATAATTAAACAAAAATTTAATATAATTTATTGTAAAACACTGTATTGGTTATTAGTTTTGTAGTTAAACTAAAATTAGTTACATTTTATATAAAATACACTTTAGTTATTATGTGATGTAAAAGATTTAGTGTTTACTAAAGGTTTTAAAGAAAAACATTTAATTAATGTCAAAATTTAAATTTAATTGTTTTTAATGGCATATTGAAAATATTTGAACAATTGATGACAACTGTGACTATTTTTGTATAACATATAAGTTATAACTTATTATTTAATAACTATTTTAGACGAAAATCCAGGAAAGGGTATAACTCTATAATTTAAATATATGTATATATTTATTACTATTTAAATAAATAGTTAAAACAGTAAACTAACTTATTTTAGTTTTTTTTTAATTAATTAGCAGTATTTAAATGATACATAATATAATGTAAATACATTTAAATTGCATATAAATTATATTTTACTTTCACATTATTCAATAAGTGTTCAAATTATATAAAAACATTTTTAAATATCCCATCATTTCCTAAACTACATAACAATTTATATAATACATAATATTTGTTCAGTTAATCCCTTTCTCACACTTCGTCTTATGAAATATCGGTCCAATATTGTGATCAAAATAACCGGTTATCTCATATAAAATGGTCGGAGTTGTTGACCAATTAACTAAATAGTTTCAATTTGATATTAAAAATAGTTTTTATATTGTATGCAATTTTAAGAAAATAATAATTTTTAGGAAATGAATAATACTATTATGATATTAGTGTTTTTTTATTATATTGCACTGTAATTGTCACTATAAAATTAATAATAATTGTTGGAATTTTACTAATGGAAAATTTTCAAATTATATTAAATTATCAATTTGTATAATTATGGTATAATTATTAACTAAAGTTTATCTTTTGATACTTAGATAAATACTGTGTATAATTAGTTTAAAATTTACTTATTATTTAGCAGTAATTTTGCAAATTTTCATTTGGAAACTTTCACTTTAAAACTTGATATGATGTATAAAGTATATAATATTATGTATACAATCATAAAGCTTACAAACAAAGTAACTTATAACAAGTTGACTAAATTTAATATAAAATTACATTTTAATTTAGTTATGTCAATATTAATAAAATATTATTTGTTGGAATACATATACAATTTAAACAATGATATTTTTGGTGAAATATATAACAGTAACTATACAATATATATATATATGCATGTGGATAAATTGTGTATTTTTAAAAAATTAATATGAAATTTATTTTTTAAAATTTGCTTTATATAAATTTACGAATCATCAAATTAAAGTATGTTTAAGTGAATATAAATATATTTAAATTTATATAAAAGTCAAGTGTGCTATCTATAGTAGGAAATAGTAATTTGATATAAAATAAGTAAAATTGCTCCAGGATAAATGGTTATAATTAGTTTGAAAGTGCAAACTTGTAGACCTAAGCGAAGTTTTAACCTTATATTAAGGCTTATATCGTGTTATTTGTTTCTCTGTTTGAAAAATAGCGCCCGATTTTCTACCTCTTAAAGCCTCCCAAAAGGCTTTTTATAAATTATTTTTGTTAAAACTTTTTTGTACAATAATATATATATATATATAAATAAGTTAAATTCAATGAACTATAAAATTAAATAAAAATAAAATAATAAAAACTTTTTGGCGAAATATTAGCCTAAAAGACGGCTAAAGAAAACAACAACAAAAGCAAAGAGCGATTCACCAAAACTTTGCGTTTTTAAGATAAAATAGACAACAAATTTCAAATGTAATCTCTTTTTCTATTTTTTACTTACTTTCTAAGTTTACTATAAAACTAATCCAAAATCATTTAATATATTTTTATGTGCCATTAATTCCCTTTACATTAACTTAGTTTCGGGTTAAGTATTGTTTTATTTTGAACAACAATTCACTACTAATATTAGTGTTTTTTTGTTAAGCTTTTCGGTGCTTTTTATAGCAATCATTTGTGAAACTAAAAATGTTTTTTCATAGATACAAACATATATATACTATAAATGTATAGATTTATAATATGCCGAATATATACTATAATACTGTTTGATGTCAAAGACATAATCCAAAGACTGCTTACTTGAATAATACCGGTAAGAAATGCCAGACTTGTCAGCACTTCCAGTGTTGTATAGTCGACATCATTATATTGTTCAATATCTGCTGAATTACCGGTACTGTTATGACCGGTTGGTATGGCATTCAGTTTTTCGGCCGCATTGGCAGACATTATGCTTATTATAGCAAAAGTACCTAAATATTAGATAAAATTATATAATGATATATATTTGTTATAGCAATCAATTTTTGACTCTTTTTTCTTTCATTATCTAATAATCAAATAATTAATATATAATATTCAATATATCTAATTAAATATATCTAATTAAATATAAAGATTTTAAAAAGTGTTTTTATTAAAATAAAAGTTATTTTAATGCATATATTATTTTAAATAATTTTGATTGTGATTCATAGCATTTATTATAAATTGAATTATTTAAGTCATAGAAATACTATTTTATTATATATTTTTCAATTATAAAATGGTTGTATGTAATTAATAAAATTAATTATATTTAGAAATTATGATAAATAACTTAATGTATCACAAAATAATTATAAAGTAAATCAAGTTATAGATTGACTCGTTTTGTTTGAATTAATTTGTATTTAAAAATAAAAATAAGTTCAAACACGTGTGTGGTTTAGGGGTGAGAAACACAAGAGTATAACGAACTCATTGATTCATTATAAAAGATGTTTCCTATTGTATTCAAGTTATATTATAGAGTCTAATAGAGACTGTAAAGCACTGTATCTAAGTTAGTAAAGTACATACAGTTCCGCACAGTACAGTATAGTACAGTACATACATACTGTACATACATACTGTACATACATATGCCACTAACCTAAATTCAAGACCATTAATGGGGTTCAGGTAAGCATAATATCAAATACTCTCTCTTTCTTTCCTCTCATCTATTTTTCTTTCTCTTTCAAAATAATAGAAAATAAAGTAAAATTAGACAAAATATCTATTTTTGTTGTAATAAAGCAAATCATAATCTCATATATACTCATGTACTGTATATATCATACTATCAAACGAAACACAAAAGCAAACAAAATTGCGAATAAAACAAAAAAAGTTTTTATTAAATGAATGTCAATATTAGGCAAAATTGACAATTTATTTACCAATAGATAGATGTTTTGAAGTACCCATTAATGAATAGATGAGAACCGGGAAGAACGATACATACAACCCATTGATAGCCGTCAGACCCGCGAGTATACCATAAGCCATGCCTTGAGGTATATGTAGTATCAAAATAGTAAAACCAGCGATAATATCGTTGATTAGATACTCTCTTATTGAATAACTTCTAATCCAATTAACTATTGGAAAAAAACGACAAAATATGCCAAAAGGCGAGCAATTGCCACAACAATTGATGACCGATCGCTTCACTCTCTGTCCAATCGTTTGCTTAATTGGTTCCCGTTTTCCATAATTCTGGTTCATATCGTCGTAGTCGATGACCGGTCTATTGATAGCTATATGTTGTTTGCCAATGGGTGTGGTCCTCTCGGAACCATTAATTGACCCATAATTGAGTAAACTTTCTTCACAGGTATTCATCGCTGGATTATCAAAACCATTGACCAGTTGTTCATTGATGGATGAGCTGCTGTTTCCGATGCGTCTCTCATCTGAGTCATCATTGGCATCGAAATCATTAACTGTTTTATTAATTAATTAAAAAATATCGAAATTCGTTAAATTCATTATAACTATAATAATATACTAATTTTCCATATTTTTTGTAATAAATTATTTATTTGATAGCTTCCACTTTCTTACTTTTATTATCTATCGTATAAATACTAATATTATATTTGTTTTTCATATTGTTTAACAACAGTAATAATAATAATTAATATTTAGTTTGTTTTATCACACAATTTATTAAAAAATATGTTCACTATTAAGAAGTTTATTCACTGTTATAAAATTATTCAATAAAAAACTAAATTTTTAACTACAATAACCAATTATTTAGTGTATATTATCTGTAAAATGAGATAAAAGTTCAGATATTTAAGTGAATTTGCTTTTTCTCCAAAAAACACAACTCATAATATTTTTAAAAAATAAATTGTATAATAATATGTTGACATATATTAATTATTTTTTAATATAAATATTAAAATACAAATAAATAATTATTTACAATTGTATTTATATGTATTGTAAGTTAATGACTAATATAAAATAATAATACCCCTTAAGTATATTAGTTTTAGTTATCATATTTGATAACAACCAATAAGTCCACTAACATTGAATAATTGAGATAATTTAGATAAAATGCTTATATTGTCTCAGTTTTAAGCATTTATTATATACAGTATATAATAATACAATTCTATCAAATTCATCATTAATTAGAATTAAATAAATATTTTTGATGATAACAAATAATTTATATACAATTTAATTGTTAAATATACTTTTATCAATTAAAAATGGTTTGTTTAATAATTTGTTAATTTTAATAAGAATTTATTTATCAGTAACTAAAGTATGATTTTCAAATATCTATTATTTATTATTCAATACTATGAATACTAAACCATCACATTTATTACTTAATCCATATTATAAAATAACAATTTAATAGATTAAATATGAATAAAATAAGTTTTGCACTCTAGTATAAAACTCTTAATAAAGTAATTAAACTTTCAATAATAACAATTACGTAAATGTAAATGTATTAAATACCCTGCTTAGCTCTTTAAAATGTAATATAAATTTTATTAAAATAATTTCATTAATTATTATTTTATTAGAAATTTAATATAAAATTAAATTTTATTGTAAATAATTAATCAAAAATAAATAAATAATAATAATATTTATGTTATAAAAGACATTTGTTATATATTTAAAATTTGTTAAAATTAAGTGTTATTAATTATTATAATAAATCAATCACTCATATCTAGGGTTAATAAATTACAGTAGTATTTTAATTTAAATGTATTTTATTCTATAATTTACTTAAATTAAATAACTTACAAATAAGTTACAACTATAATCATATTTTACAATCTGTGTTGACATTTATTTTGTTGCTTTTATATTTAATTTAGTCATTATTTATTTCAAATGATAATATTTTATTTACACAAATTAGCTTATAATTCAATATTACTAGAAATAGTCTACATTATATTAATACTGTAACTTACATTCATACGACAATCACAATCATAACTTACAAATTTACTTATACTTCAAATATTGTTATTATCAATAAATGATATAAAACAATATTAATTGTTTTTAAATTACTATTTTTAAACTATAATATATTAAATTTTAATATTTGTTTTCTATATTAATGATATTTGATGCTAAAAATGCAAACAAGTGACATCCCTTTGTGTTTTACATTTTTGTAAGCACATCATTAATAGTATAATTTTCAATACAACAATTTTATATGCAAATTTGATAAATTAAAAATATTTTGTATTAAAATTATTACATAATATTAGCGACAACAGGAAAATTCATAGCCCTATCATTATAATAGATGACATTTGACTTAACTTTAATTGTTTGAGTTAATTAAATTCGCCAAAAATGTCAACAAATATATAGTTGTTATTATTATTTTGTCAAATATAATGTCATTTAGATTATAATCGTTATGAATATATTGTATATTTTAATAAAATTTAATATAAAAGTATATTATTTAATACAAAATATTTAATATCTAAATCAGGTGAATATCAACAATATTTATAATTACATTTGTTATTTATAATAGTAATTAAAGTATTATGATATTATAATTTAGTAATATTTATATTGTATTTAATATTTTTTTTAAAAGTCATCTTTCAAATTATATTTTTGCAGTATTTATTAAATTATTGCATAATATAAATTTATATATCAAAAATTATTTACAAAATTGGTCATAATTATAGTTATAGACTTATAGTGAAAATGAGTAAATATTTTTATAAATTATTTATCATATCTTTTTTTTATAAATTTCCTGTTTATTGCAATAATCAGTAATACTTATCTTAGTTATTAAAAACAAAACAAGAGGTAATTCCTAAGAAAATACTTATTTAGCATTTATTACAGATCTTACAATATATTTGTGTTAAATATAATATACTCTACTTATAATTTTTGCATATTATTGATGTTAATTACTTATTAATAATATATTTTGATTATTTACTGCATTTATAAACACATGCTCAATATATAATAGTTTATTATGATATTTAATATATAATTTTATGTATGTGTGTGTGCATGTGCGTATTAGTGTATGTATGTATATATAAAACATGTATGTGTATGTGTATGTGTATGTGTATGTGTATGTGTATGTGTATGTGTATGTGTATGTGTATGTGTATGTGTATGTGTATGTGTATGTGTATGTGTATGTGTATGTGTATGTGTATGTGTATGTGTATGTGTATGTGTATGTGTGTGTATGTGTATGTGTGTGTATGTGTATGTGTGTGTATGTATGTATGTATGTGTATGTATGTGTATGTATGTGTATGTATGTGTATGTATGTGTATGTATGTGTATGTATGTGTATGTATGTGTATGTATGTGTATGTATGTGTATGTATGTGTATGTATGTGTATGTATGTGTATGTATGTGTATGTATGTGTATGTATGTGTATGTATGTGTATGTATGTGTATGTATGTGTATGTATGTGTATGTATGTGTATGTATGTGTATGTATGTGTATGTATGTGTATGTATGTGTATGTATGTGTATGTATGTGTATGTATGTGTATGTATGTGTATGTATGTGTATGTATGTGTATGTATGTGTATGTATGTGTATGTATGTGTATGTATGTGTATGTATGTGTATGTATGTGTATGTATGTGTATGTTGATGAAAGTGAAAAGTTCATAAGTTAAGTAGTGATTACAGTATATCTTTTTATAGGTCACATCAAACATAACATTAGATTTAGACCAATAGATAACAACTAACTAAATGATTAATATTTTGCATAATAATTATTAAATAGCTAATTATGATTAGTGTTATAATTTTTAAATATCACAAAAATTTACGCCAAATAACATAATTAGTTATTAGTTTATTACATTAACTTAATAAAATACTATTATTAGTATTAATTTACATTTGGATAATAAAGTACATAATTTTATCTGTTTTACTTAATTAAACAAAAATCATTAACATTATCATTATATTACTATTATAGTGATATCCAAATGCATTACAACAATCCAATCATTACAAAGCATTTATAAAATGAAGATAATATCACAAAATTTGATGCAAACCTTGTATTTCAATGTTGTCTAATAGACGCGACTTTTCAGTCTTTGCACTATTTGTATGTGAATTACTAAACATTTTATTTATTAATTAAGTTTTAGATATATATTTATGATATAAATTCATCAAATTTTATCAATAATACAATTGTAGTTATATTATTATAATATAATTATAATCAAATATTATTATATTTTAGTTTCATATTAATAATATTGATGAATACAAAAACACATTAATTGTTTATAATTTTTTATAAATATAAATTATAACAACTTTTTAAAATATTTATAAAATATTTTTGAATATTATATTTAACTTATCTATAAATTTAAAAATTATTGTTTTTTTTTAATTTTCGAAAATTCACTTTTATTCGAAAAATGAGTTTATTTATAAAAATATATTTACTTAACAAATAATAATATCAAAACATTATACAGAAAAATGTTTTTAATTTATTTTGATAAATATATAGTATTTACTTTATAACAATTATAACTTTATGATTATATCATTTCATTTGTCAAATATTTATATAAATCAAATTATTGAATATATTTATTAAAACGTAATTATGAACTAATATTTTTTTCAATTTACTGTCACAACATTTTGTTGTAATAATTTCTATTATATATTAAATTTTAATATAAATTACAAAATTCACTTAATTATAATACACAAGTAATTGACTATTTATTCACATAAATATAAATGTACTTAATTTATATCTATTTTTAAACTTAAATATTATAGATATTGAATTAATTTAATATAAAAATTAAACCGTCAAATAAAATGATATATCTGTTTAACACTTGATTTTTTGTGCCCAACTAACACATGTTTATATATATATAGTATATATTGTATAAATTATATTGAATAACCAGTTATAACAAGGGTATACATGTATTTGATACATGAGCCAACATTTTACAATATTATAAAACTGCACTTATAGTTGGCTATTGTAATTAATAAACTTAGACTAGTTCATTTATATAAATTATTTTTATATTAATCAAAATAATGTTATTTCTGGTAATGTCACTAATATCAGTGAAATCAATAAAATAAATAAAGTTGATTGATTAATAAAATTACCTATATATCATTTTTTTAGTTTAAATGATCTAGCTCATGTATTTAATAATAATACATTTTAGCAGACACATTTAATAATATAAATATAAGACATTTTATGTACAATTTTGTTTGATTAAATGATTGATTAGTATTTTCAGTATAACGTCAATTGTATATAATTTATAGTACATGTTGTATATAATGTTAAAAATTTGTCATTTTATGTATAAATTTCCTTTCAATGACACTAATATTTTTTGTAAAATACAATCAATTAACAACTATTTTATATATAGTATTTACTCAATAATATATAGCTGTAATGCACTCATAGGTAAATTATTAGTTGGTCCCCATTACGATAATTATATTGAAAATAATATAATATAAATGATTATAACAAATATAAAAAAAATTTAAGGAATGAAAATTCTAAATAAAATATAAATATTTTTAAACATGTTATCATGATTTTTGTATAATTAATGTTAAAATTCAAAATATATTGAATATATTGAATACATAACTAAAACTATTGACTATAAACTATTAACTAAATAGTATAAAGGGGTAAAAAATTATTTTATTTTATTTTTAAGAGTTTATTTGTGATTGACTAATGTATTTGATTAACATTAGTATACACTACATAAAAAAGTTAACAATCAATATATTGCTTATGTTTATACTATATATTATATAGTATAAACATAAGCAATATATTGATTGTTATTAAATTAAATTAAATTAATTTATTATTTTTGCTAATTATTTGATTTGATTATCTATAATGTACTAAATAATGTTAATTTTTTATTGTTAATATATAGTAGTATAGATCTTTGTAATATCAAATATAATATAATATTATAAATTATAATATAATATATTGTATATATTTGCCCAAATCGGGTATAAATCAGGGTTAATCTATAGGGTAGGGGGTAAGGCCAATATACCCCCTAAGATTTTGAGAGTTTACCCCCATAATTTTTGACCAAATTGAAAAAAAATAATTTAAAAACAATGAGAAATGAACCATATTCAAATTTAGGCGCTGAATATTTTGAGAAATAATGGAATTTATTGGTAGTATTTAACTATTTTCTGGGAATTTTTCTCCAATTTAAGTCGAAATTTTGGAATTTAAGGAATTCTATGAAATTTTCTTTTAATACATTTTTTATTTTGGTTTTTGAAAAAATTGCATTTAAAATGCGATAAAAGTATACCCCACTCTATACCCCCAGATTTTTCTAGATTTGTGTCATCTGTACCCACTATACCCTCTAAAATCAAAACATTGCTCAACACTGGTATAAATATTATTAAATATAATCATAGAATTAAAATTATGATATAAATTTGATAAAATCTTTTGTATGTAATTTAGTTTTTATATTTATTATATTTTATTTTTATAACCTAACTTAATTTAACATCATTTTATAACTTTATCGTAACATTATAATGTCATCTCAAATTAATATAACTATAATATTGATGTTATGTTAGATTCAAATTGCATTATTCATTGTAAACATTTTATAAATATTTTTAAAAAATTATTATTAAATAAGTAAATTATTATAACTTTATAATCTTTAAATTAATAATTAACTGAAAAATATATATTAATTATTAAGTTTATAATTATAAATGTTTTAATGATTTTTGAAAAATTTTAAAACTAATAGTTTTTATCATTTTGTGTAATGAAATCTATATTATATACTACAGTATATTATACTATACTATATTATAGTTGATTATTAGTTTTGGTCTCTAATTAGTTCAATTTTATTTTTTAATAATGTTTGTATAATTAAAAGTAAAATTAATATTGTATTTTAAAAATTTATATTAAAAATGTTCTTAAAGTAATAATTAATTTTATATCATTTTTATATCATATAATGTTTATGAAAGTGTAATAAATAACTTATTTATCTATAGATTGTCATATATTAAAAGTTATTTTTATACTCAAAAAAGTTTAATATAATGGGTAGACATATCTTAGTGTTGATTTAGATTAAATCAGTTTGTTATCTAATAAGTCGTAATAATTATTCAAATTTGAAACATTGGTTTTTTTAAAATGTGTGTACATGTGATTCATATGTATTAAAATTATGACAGTATTACTGATAAATCAAATCATTTATTGCATATGAATTGCAATGAAAAATTGACAAATAAATTGATTGTGATATTGATTTAAATTATTAATTGAAAATAGTATGTAAATGTTAACAATATTTAGATATATAGTATTAAATGTTAGTGATATAAAAACATAAAATTAATTTACATACTTTAATAAAATGTAAATCATTATAAAAAGTTATCACAAATCATTATAAAATTTAATTTATTAATTTTCAACAAAATTAAACACTTGATTTAAACAACACAATTGACAAATTATCTTTATATATTATACTATAATAATATAACAGAGAATATAATAAAAATAATATCTACTTTTTTAAAAAAAATTGTTTGTCATTTACAATTAATAAATATGAAGATAATACTATTATATGATTTTTATCAATAATTTATATTAATAATAAAGTTTAATTAATTAAGTAATTTGTAAATCACGATTCATTCAAATAAAAAATATAATAAGTTTTCTTTATTTAAAATATATTATTTTATACAATAAATAATGTACTCTACGATACATTTATAATAATTATATAATTTATAAATATCATATACTGTACATCAAATTAAATACACAATGTATATAAAAGTATTATAATGTACTATAAAAAGTAACAATAATTACATAAAGCATTTTTGTTATGATATAATAATTTTAATGAATTGTTAGTTTAATGTTTGATAAATTACAATTTTTAACTTCTGTTTTTAGAGTAAATTAATTTATTATAAATATTTTACTGTTAAAAATGTAACTTAATTATGTTAAATCAAAATTACAATAAATATGAAATAAAGATAAATTAATTTTATTATTAATAAATTATTTATATTAAATATATAAATATAAAGGTATAAAATTAATAATTATTATTAGTATTATCATTTGATACAAGATTTTTCTGTTAAATCATTAAAAATCGAGTTAATACTAATGTAATTCTGAAATTTCTTTTTATATATTTAAGAAATAATATTTTTAATTAAAAAACATATAATGTAAGTAATGTATAGCTTTTTATTTCTAAATTAATTTTAAATTATACATTTGTACATTTATATACTGCATATAATGTTTATAATAAATTACTGATATGTAAAGTTATTTATTATTATACTGTAAATAAAAATTTAATACTTACAAATAAACCATTATTAATATTATGAAGTACAGTATAAATGAATCATTGTATAAATTATACATATACTGTATATTACATATATGTACAATATTATAAAATTACACGCATTTATAGTAAATTAAGCACATAAATATAAATATATCACAAAAAATGTTTTTAATTTATTATAAATCACAATTTAACAATAAAAATATTAAAATAATTTTTTTCTATTAAATACCCTCTAATATCATTGATAACACATATTATCACAGATTTTATTACGCAATTATTTTTTTTTAATTTTAAAATATAATAACAAAAGAGAGATTCTGTGCTGAATATTCTGTGGCCATATTTAACACAAATAACATTTGTATGTTTAGTGCGCCCACGCATTTGCATTGATAGTGACAATATTGCACAACGGTTACAGATTTATTTAAGCATAGTTTTTATTAAACAAAACATTAATTAATTAAAATGTTATAATAATTATAATTATAGCAATTATTATAATACAAATATATATTTATTATTTAGCTTAAATTTAAAATTTAATGAATTTAATAAAATCCACATAAAATATTGTATAGCCATAACATTATTATTAATTAATTATTTTATGGTAAAATTGAATATAAAGATTATATTATGTTTGTCTTATACAGTATTAAAAAGTATAATATATCAAAATTAATCAACTTTTGATTTTTATTTTATAGATAAATATATGTGATACTTAAAATACTCTAATTTATATAATTTATTTATAATACCGTTTTGTTACCAAGCAAAAATGTTAACTTATATTATTTTTGGTATTATTTAAAATATCATTAATATAAAAATAGTAATGTACAGTTTACGTTTACGACATACATTTACGACAACAATTATTTTTTGATATAATATAACTGGAAATAAGATATTAGAGCTAACAATAATGGATATTCATGTTTCTAACATCTCATTATATTAAATAGAGTATTAAAATACATAATTATATTTAGTAGCAAATGCTTTCATATTTAGTTCACATTTTTTTCTATGCATCTGATATTTAATAATATATATGGTATAACAAGTATTAAAAATTATTTATTAAAATTATGTACAGAATATACATTAATATAATAATTATAAAATCTGCTAAAAAATAGTGTAAATCAAATACAAAAGCGATAAAATAGTTATTACTCATACAATATATATTTATTCTCCGGAATTCATTAGAATATTCTTATCTCAGGTTTAGCACCGGTATTATGTGTACTCAATATTTATATGTGTAGACAATATACTAGAGATACAACTATTATACAGTAAATATATGCAACTTTATGTTATGTGTTGGTCTATTGTGGCTTATTTGCATTACGTGACCGGTGCTCATCAGATGCTTAGGTTTATATATATATATATATTTGTTTTTATTTGTATGCATTTAATACATAAATAGTATTTTTACTTTTTATTTGAGATACAATACAATGAGTAAATCAATACACAAATCTTATAATTGAATTCTAACTAATTTAGAGTAATATTTGAATAAATAGATCTCGTTTTACGAATGCATACTATAATTATTTCATTTATATTTTTCTATATAATTATTTTCATCAAAGAGAGAGAGTCTTAAACAGCGGCGCCGACGACGACAGCGGCGATGCTTTTAATTTCAATTATCTGATCAACAATACGTTGGTTTTAAAAGTGACCAAGGGCAATGTTATAGATAATTTTAAACTAAATAAATAGATTGTAATTGGTCATTTTTTAATTAATTGCATGATTGGCCATATAATATAGTCAACTGTTAAAAAATTGTAAAAATTATCTACCCAATCATGCAATTAATTAAAAATGAGCAATTACATTTTATTTAGTTTAAAATTATCTACAACATTGCCCTTGGTCACTTTTAAAACCAACGTATTGTTGACATAATAATTGTAATTAAAGGCATCGCCGGTGTCGTCGTCGGCGCCGCTGTTTAAGACTCTCTCTCTCTCTCTCTCTCTTTATGAAGCATTTAAATAACATTTTTATTGTAATTATTTGACTGAAATGAGCAAAATATTTCAATATAAAAATTAACATTTTTTATGTCTACATTATATATGTTTATATGAATAATAAAAATATAATTCATAATTAAAGTTATAATAAATAGAAATATTTATACATTGGGTTATCTAAAAGTAAATAATGAGGAATAAAAATATAAATAGCAATCAAGTTATATATTTTTACAGATTAAGTAATTTTTTATATCATTATTACTTTACTTATTATAGTCACCGGCATTAATATAAGTGGTGCTAATAAACAAAATACAAACATTTAATTATAACAATTTCAGATAAATTTTTAAATCATTAGAGAAATTATAATTTTAATCAACAAAATGCTATACAGTATTAATAAATGATGTAATTTTCACGAAAAAAACCAATTCAATCATTCTTCACATCCATTATTCATATGTTTGCTATTATAGCTACAGACAGCTCCGGCAGGTTTTGGATTCATTCCAGTTTTGGCTTCTTTTTCTTCGCCAATATTATTGGAACAATCATTGAATACTTTTCTAAGAACTTCTTTAGCAATCCGTGGAATTAGATTTTCATTTGTATAGAGATTGAAGTCAACAAACATTTCAAGCTTTAACTTTTGAGCCAATTCGGTGAGCATTTGTTCCAATTGAACCATCACTTCAGTTGGTAAGTCAATGCAATCAAATATCGCCAGTGATTTGAATGTAACACCACATCCAACCTCATAGTATTTATAATCGATTGCACTTATGGGTCGAATGACAATTTCATCCCTCAAATAATCAATTTTAAGATTAAAAAAACATTTAAATTGAAACAAAATAACACCAAATGTAATGCAATACCTGATGGGCTGAAGTATGTAATCGTTAACGAGATTCATAAGACATTTTAAATAAAATATTTTATCCACTTTCTGGTCCTTAATCTTACGTATCGATGACTGAAGCATTGAGATTACTTCATAACCATAATAATAGTCAAACAGAAATTTAAAGACAGCGTTGAACTCTTTTTCGGTGAGCGCCGGCATTATGTGGTCGAGTGCTATCTTTGTTAACTCATTGCACTTTGCATACTGTGGATAGACATCTGTTATCCATTTGGTGTTGAGTGTGGCCGCAGAATAGTGAAGGATTTGATCGTGAAATATGTTATTACTTATGTCATAAAGTTGTTCAATAGGTTTCGGGAATCGTTTCTCTAAGTAAATCAAATATATTTTAGGTGTCGTCGCTTTAAGTCCAGGTTTTCCTCTCCAACGACTCATCAACACCTGATCCATCAAAGCAAAGTCTTCTTCGCTAAAATTGGACACCATTTTTGTGTCCAAAATCATATTTAACACATCAATAGTGATTTGTTTTTGATGTGGTCTATGCCAATAATAATCCAAATATTGAATTAAAAATACTATAATTAAATAAATTTAAAAAAAAACAATTGAAATAATTAAAATAATTAAATTAAAATAAGAATTCATACAAATTGTGGGAATCAAATTGGAAAGAAATTGTGGCCACTCTTGGTTACCGCTCAATTCAATTATATTTTTCATTAGTAATAATTTAGAGTAAACAAGCTTTTCATTTGAGAAGTTTAAGTCTGCCATCAAATACAGAAAAAACTGTTGCAGTGATAATACATCTTCGAGTAGTCCCTCTTTGGTTTGAATGTTGACAAACCCTTTAACCAATTGAGTCAAATCGTCTACCGTTTGGATCGACGGGTTGGCTAAAAGCCGTTCCATCAGTAAATGCAACAAAATATTAACTGAATGAAGAGTATGTGACGGTATGTTTGTTGTCAATGGATTCAAATTAATAGCAATAATTCGCGACACAAATGGCTGATGCGCTTTGTTCTTCTCGACAACCAATTCAAGTAATTGTCTCAACATTTCAATACCCATGAAATAACTCGCTTTAAATAAATAATAAATTAAATACATGTTTAAAATAATTTTTAAAACTATTATTACTTACCAACAGTTATATCATGAATTAAGTCTTCAATGAGTTCATTATCCGATTCTGTTATTTGATTAAATCTCGTCTTAATAGAGTTCAAGATATCTCTAAGATCTTCATTGGTTACCAACGGATCAGTTCCAAAGTTTTTGATGCGAGTCTTTAAGTCTACATTTGGTGAATCTTTTAGCGCATTAAATAGCATTCGCTTGAAGTAACATTTGGCGGTAGGATTGTTAGCATAATTAACCAGTTTTTTGGTCAATTTTGTGGTCAATTCAAATTTGTGAATGTGTTGAGGATTAACCATTGCCATCATTTCCAAAAACTGATAGTTTCCAAAGGTAAATAATAAATCCAATGTTTGACCAAAATTTGGGTGATCTTCGTCTCGCAAAATGCGTGATAAATAAGAGAAACGCTTTGAACGTATTGTTTGAAATGCTTTATTGTCGACAATTTTGAAGAAAGTGTCCAAAGATTTCATACAAACAATTGGTTTCTCAAGAATGTCGAATTGACTGTTCATCAGTTCAAGCGATTGATAATTATTTCGGGCCACAGCTATATCGTCACGAATGCGTAGGTCTTCGGCCACAAAAATTTCGAAGTTGTCGTTGATGTCAACAAAACGATAGGAAAACAAGTTTTCGAGTTGTGTTAACTGTAAAAAATTAATAGAAATATATCTAAATATTTAAACATTAATTCATAATAACTAAATAACTCTCACTTTAATCCTTTCAATTAGTTTTAAAACAATGATTGCATTCAAGTAATCACATATTCATTAATACATTAATTGTTTGACTTTAAATGACAAGTTTATGTCAAATAACATGAGTATCTGTCGTGCAATTTAGCAAATGGTTTGACCCTTATTTCATATGATAACCAATCAATCAAATTATTTTATAACAATTATATGTTAATATCATGTGATTATTGCCTGTATTACAACATTTCTTGTAAATTCAATGCAATCATTGTTCAACTTTAATGACTTATTACTACTAATTGTCTCTTTAAATAAATAATAGATTGAAAGTAAATTTAAATAAAAAATATAAATAACTTTTTGTAAATCTTGTTGAATGTATTGTTGATTTGACAATAAGTTTAATCCAAAACCAATCAATTCTTGTGTCATAACATTAAATGTTGCCAATTGTTGGACACAGATATCGCGTTTCCGTTTCAATGACCTCTCTTGACATGTCTTTTGAATATCAATGTAGAAATTGTTTGTCCTTTCATTTAATGTTAATTTTCCGTCAATGATATTAGTGGTCATTGAGTGGACACAAATGCAATCAATCAATGAATAATAGTATTGAATATCATCTTCGGTTAAACATTCTTGACTAGCATTGGCCTCAATCTCGTCAACCAATACATGGATCAACTCTTTGGAGTGTTTGTGTTGACTAATGAGATCAGTATAGACGAGACGCCAATTGAATTGTGAACACAATTTAAGCCAAAATAAAACGCCAAATGATATCTCATCGTTAAACAGATCCAATACTGTCTCAAAGTATCTCATCTGCGATACTGTTAACAGATCTAACTCTTTAAGAATCAACGCAAACAACAATTCGTTAATTTGTTGGACTGAAGAGTCATCGTTGGTAATGATGGGTACTTTGGCCACTACTTCTGTCCACATCTTTGTCATAAACCAATCGTAAGAGTTAACCATTACTTGTGACCAACATTTGGCATCTATTTCTTGACCGTCGGTACCGCACTTTGGCCAACAATAAGTGGCCGAAAAAATGCCCGAAAAGCGTTGAACATTGAGATCATTCATAAAATATTTATTCATCACATGTTTGGTCTTTAGACCGCCGATTGACGCTCTGGTCATACGTTTTGTGTCCATTTGTTGCGTAAATTAATGACAAAAATGATTTCAAATGATAAACACATGACATGTGAGTCACAGAGTATGCGTTCATTCATAACATTCAAATCAATGCCATTAACAACAAGTGTTACATTAAATGTATGTTTTTGTACCCCAAATGTTAACTTATATTTCAAATGCATTATAATATCAATATGTAATGTCTTTCAATTTTATTTAAGTCATAGTATTTACTAAATAATTATTTTTAAACTTTTATTCAAAGCATTAATTGATATAAATATGAATTATTTTTAACAAATATTATACTTATATTATATTATATTATAAATTATACAACAAAAGCATTTGAATGAATGAATGAGTTAAAGTTGAAATCAAATAAAACAATATATTGAATAATAGCTTATAAGTAGTGTATTGATTAATAATTTTTTATACTCTATTAAATAGTTGTTATAATAGTTGCTTAAAAAAATCAAATAGTTTTTAAAATAGTTATTTAAACTGTATTAAATAGTTGTATATAGTTGCTAAAAAAGCCAAATAGTTATTGAAATAGTTATTTATTTTTTTTATAAATATTTCAACTGATATATATTCATTTGTTTGCAGCATATTTACAAAAATGATTTATATAAATAAACTAATTATTTCTATTGTTAAAAAAGTAATATGAGTTGATAACAGCTTACACATTTTATATAATTTATATAATTATTACTTTTTGTTTTTACATATATTTGTACTTAATTTTACAATTTAATGCTTATATTTTTCAAAATCAATGAAATAATTATTTATAAGTTTTTATAGTTGCTAACACAACAAATAGTTATTTATAGTTATAATAAAATTTCGGAAATAGCGTCCACTGGTCAACTTCGGTGGACATACTAAGTCCCAGTTATAAGCGTTGAACCGACAAAATAATTTTTTTAGTTGAAAATCAAGACACTACTTATAAGCCGAAATAAACCACAAACTTTATATCAAATTATATTATTAAATAAAAATTTGTATTACAGGGTTTCACCATTCTATTTCAATGTAGTTCAAAACTATTTCATAAGTAAACATATTTATTTGACTCTGAACAAATATATTTCAATAGTAAACGTATTTATTTCTAAGCGAACAAATATATTTCAATAGTGAACATATCTATTTCACTCTGAACACAGTTATTTCAAAAGTAAACTTATTTATTTCAATACTCTTGCTTTAGTGCAATACCTTACATACTTAACAAACTTTTGTCTATTGTTTACAAATGTATTTCAGATTAAACTTTTAAAATAAACATCTTATTTATTTAAAAGTGCAAAATTTTAATAGTCTGAAATTTTTAAAAAACTATTTGTGAGTTTTAAGATGTTTAATAAGTATTAAATGTATTATAATAAAGCATAGTTTTGAGTAATGAAATAAATAAGTTTACTTTTGAAATAGCTGTGTTCAGAGTGAAATAAATATGTTTACTTATGAAATAGTTTTGAAATACTTTGAAATAAATAGGTGAAAGACTGTATTATATGTGTATAATATAATTTATTAATAAACTTATTTATGATATTATTTATTACATTCAAATGCTTCTGTTGTATATAATATAAAATAATTAATTTTTTAAATAATAGTTAATATTTTAGTTTATTGGTACATATTTTTATTTTTTAAATGTTATTTTTATATAAATATTGACTGAATATTAATTATTTAACTTAATTTTGGTTAAATTTTTAATTCAAGTAATTATAAAATTGAAAAAATTTTAAAAATTATTAATAAAAACTTTATTATTATTAATATACAGTATATATTATTTATTAATTTTATTTAAATTGTAATATTACTGTCTTTTCAACAAATAGTTAATTTTATATTTTTTTAGTTATATATTTTAATTAAAATAATACTATATTTAGATTAATTTTAACCTAATTTTTATCTATTTTTAATCAATAATTACATTCATATAATCTATAAAAACAATAACACTTTAATAAAATTAAATTAAAAAAATAATTTTCTTAAACTTGAAAAAAGACATTCTCGTCGTTTTTATGCCACAATTGTTTCAATTTTTGTCAAAAAGTTGGGTTAAATCATAAAATCTCGATCTTAGGTGGGGGTCATTTGGCTTAACCCCCTCTTACTTAAACCTGAAACATTGTTATTCAAATTCATTATAATATATATGACATTTATATTGTATAAGCATTTAAATTAAAAGTCTAATTGTTTATAATACAGTATATTATCGATAAAAATAAATTATCAATAATTGATAGTACTGTGTGTGTGTGTGTGTGTAGTTGACATAGATTTAGTAGATATACTGTAGAATAGGTGCACAATATTGTGATGCTATAACTTATTTTATGTATTTATATTTAGTCAAAATTAGTTTAGATACTGTATTATCGTATAGTTATAGTAATGTTTCATTTTTTTGTTGTTGTAATAATCTAACCATTAATTAATAAACGGTAATTAATAATCAAAAGTTATATTATACAATGTTTTATAGATTTGCAAATTAAATATTTTAATTATTGATTATTTTATGAAATGTAAAATTTTTATTTATTGTTAATAATTAAACAAAATAATAATTAGTGAAAATAATAAACAGATTCTATACAGTGATCAACAATACATTGACAAAACAAAAATAGTTGGGACTTAATAACAGTACATAATATACCATAATTTTAAATTAAAACTATAAAATGATATTAATTTGAATACACGGATGAAATTAATTATGAAATACAGTTATACATAAATTGCTGTTTTCTTAACAAATTACATAATTATAAATATATTTAATTAAAATTAGTCACTCTTTTCATCGTCACTATCGTCATCACTGATTACAATCTTTCTTTTCTTATCCGGTTTGTCCTCCTTTTCCTCATCAGATGAACTGTACGACACATCTGGTGATAGTTTATTTACCGGTGAAGGAGATTTAGCCGATCGTTCGGATCGCTCTGAATCCGAGTCTTTTTCAGATTTATCTAAATTATCCGATGACTTCTTGTCTTCAGCAACTTTATATCAAATAAGATATATTTATATTATTATCATTTCAAATGGTAATCAAACAAAATTCAAACCTATCCTCTTCTGCTCTTCATTATCGCTATCGTCATCACTGATAACTCTTTTTCTTTTCTTTTCAATCTTTTTGTCCTTTTCATCATCAGATGCTGAACTATACGACACATCCGATGATATTTTGCCGGAAGGCGATGGAGATCGCGATGATTTGGATCTCTCTGAATCCGATGACTTATCGGATACAGACTTGCGTTTTGAACCTATATTTTAATGATATGATTACTAATGTAATGAACTATTGTGTACTTAAAATGTAGTCAAACCTGTGTCGCCATCATTATCACTGTTTTCATCATTGATAACAAGATTTGCTTCTTTGTCTTCACCCGATGACGAAGAGCTGTCTGAATCGATATACTCTTTCGACTTAAACTTTCCGGGTTTTTGTGATTTTACTGAATCAGCGGTTTGATGGATGTGAACACGTCCTCGACTTTCTTTCTCTTTCTTTCGTTTCTCTTTTCTTTTGAGTCTTTCCTCTTCTCTCCGTTTTCTTCTCTCTTCATTCCTTTCTTTTACATCTGCATCAGATCCTGACTCTGATCTATCTCTTCGTTTTCGTTTACGTCTGCGATGACTTTCGCTGGTTTCTCCTAAAACATGAATAAACAATGACTACCGAAACAATTCAACAACAAATATCAATCATACCTTCTGCCAGATTAAGTGGTCGTTTGATACGTTCGGGTCCGTCGCCATCGGATGAGCTATCGTTGACAAAGCCGTCGTCATCCATATAACGCTTTCTCTTTGCTTTTGGTTTGTCTTCACTTACTTCAGGGAATATAAGTTTATTCTTTGATTGTTCGACAAACTGTTGTCTCTTAAGAATGAGTTGTTGTTCGTGTTTAGATTTTTCTTCTTCTTTCTGTCGCTGCTCTTCCAACAACTTTTGTCTGAATGTCTCTCTTTCTTCTTCTTGTTTACGACGAGTTTCCTGTTCCTCTTCATCCATACGTCTCGCTCTGATGACAACATATTGTGCCTAAAGTGTGGAAATATATTAAAAATAATAATTAATTTGTTAATATCTTAACCAATAAATACCTGCGACAACAAGTCTTGGCACTGTTTTTCTTCGATCTCAGCCATTCTCAAATCAAACTTCATTTTATCGCCATTTTTCTTAAGAAATCCAAAATATTTTTGTGCTAAACCTAACTCATGAACTGCTGAGAGGACTGTTCTCAATGAACTTTTTGTGTCCTCTAAGACACTTGCGGCTAACTTTTGTAAGACAAGCGCCAAATTGAATAATAAGACCGTGTCGTGTGGATTAACACGACGACTACGCAGAAGAATATTCTTACATTCCCTTATTTTTCCCCATTTAAAGTAAGCCCGAGCCATGTAAAGCATTATATCGGTGTTGGTATACGAGTAGAAGCGTCGATAACAGTTTTCATACATCTGTATTGCGCTTACATATTGTTTCAGTTCAACATAGATGTGTGCAATGTTTATCCAGACATCGGGAAAGTCAGCGGTCGACTCCCGAACCTGTGAGAAAATATCTCGCGCTTCACTTACGTAACCTATAAACAGATAAAATCAAATAATTTAATCAATAAATTTAAAAACTTCAACAAACCCTTGTGCGCCAAAACAGCTCCGATACCATTGGCGGCCCAAATATTTTTGGCGTCAATCTTAAGAACCTGACGATACATTTGAATAGCTCTTTCCTGATGGCGCTTCTCTTTATCTTTTTCTTTGGTCGGCTGATGTAATGTTTGTAACCATACGTTACCCAATGCAACAATAGAGTAAGTGTCCTGTGATGTTGATTCCTGAGCCAGAATGCGCTCAAACTTTTTCTGTCCCGGACCCCACTCTTGTTTAGCCAAATGCAAGTTCCCGATTAGTGACCAGGCGTCGGGATGATCCTTCTCAACCTATACAACATTTTTCAAATTATTTTCAAACAATTCTTATCCATAATTATAGAAATAATTATCAATAAATACCTGAAGTGCTTCCTTAAACCAGTCACTGGCTTCATAAATCTGTCCTAAATCTCTAGCCATACATCCCAATCTCAGATAACAGTCCACATAATTAGGATGTTCTCTCAATATATTTTTATAAATAATTTCTGCCTTATTATAATCATGATTAGCCTCATGAAGTCGGGCGAGATTGTAGTTAATGGTCACTGATATTGATTTGAAATAGTGTTCTTCGTGTTCCATCTCTTCATTACATCTCTTCAAAGCCATCGTATAATTATTCATCGCTTCCTTAAGATTTCCAATTCTAAAGTAAAGTGCGGCCACATTGTTATAAATTTCTGCCGGAATGTCCATTTGGTTCTCTTTGAAAATCTTAATAGCAGTTCCGTATCCATTGAGAGCGGCTATCATTTTTGATAAATCATTTAAAAAATACATACTAATAATTATGGTATAAACAATACACACCCTGAAGATCTGATTGTTCGAGAATCTGTGCCAACTCGATCCACGCCTCAACATCATCGGGATGTTGTTCAGTGACTTTCTTGAGAAACTGTTTCGCCTGATCTCTCTTTGTTTGGTTATTGGACTGAGCGTATAGAGAGCCCAAGATTTTCATCGTTTCGTAATTGTTTGGATACGATTTGAGTACTTTCTCAAAACATTGGGCGGCATTATCGACATCTCCTCTGTGAATATACATTTGACCCAAACCATAATGAGGTAATACAAATGATGCCGAAGCAAATTGAGTGGCCTGGTAGTAGTATTGGAAGGCCTGTTCAATACAATTACCGGCAATACCAATATATTAGTAAACATAACAAATTTTAATACTAAATATTTCATTCAAAAAACCTGATCAAAATCTTCCTGAATATGAAAACTTCGCGCCAATTGATAACAACTTTCGGCTCTCATCGCCTCATTTTCGGTGTTATGAAAGGCGTGAAGAGCTAAATGTTGTACTTTTTTGTAATCTTTTTTAAAGAAGAAATGATTAGCCAAATGATTGAGAACCATTGGATGAGTTTGATCGATGGTATAAGCTTTGGATAACATTTGCACTCCACGTCTAATAGCTTCGGGTGCCTTTAAATTCAACTCAAGTATAGCAAGGCCAACAAGTGCACCGACACATTGTGGGTCCAGTTGGAGGGCCCTCTCAAATGCCAGTTTAGCCTTTTCTGGTTTATTCATTTTGTAGAAACAGTGACCCATTCCTAACCGTACATTTGCCGGACAATTGGGATTAATTCGTAGGGCTTTCTTGTAAAAAGTGAGCGCCGTTTTTGGTTCTTTCTTATTGAAACTAATACAAGCCTTGCCTATCGGTGATCATTATTGAACAAATCGTTAGACTTCAGTCACTATTATTCATATTACTGTACACTTACCCAAAAGTGATGGTATATTATTTGGTGCCTGATTGAGGACAAACGTGAACTGTGCGTCTGCCTGTTCCATCTTATCGGGTTCGGACAGACAGAAGTGGGCTCTACCGACCAGATGGTTGGGCTCATACATCACGATTTTGTCGGCATTCGTGTAGAGGACAGTCGCCTGAGCGAACAATTCGCGCTTCTTTTCGCGATTTTTCTCCCGATTAGCTTTACTGACATAATAGGCGGCCAATGTGTCCAACGCCCTCATCTGATCCCTTTCGTAGTCCGAATAGTTGAGCGAAGCATCAGTTCGTGAACTCTCCAGAAGTTGAACAAAGTCTTGCTCTTTGTTTTGCTTATAATAAGCCAACGCTAGACAAACAAAATTAAATTTCAAATTATATATGATATCAACATTTGTAATGATAATTGCCATCAATTGATACCTAATTGGATCCAAACATTAAGCGGTGCCGACTCTGACTGCAGAATCTGAAGGACTTCTCGACAATCGGGCAGTTCATCTAAATCGAGTTCAATCACTTCGTCGGCCGATTCTTTCAGCGGTATCTCAATGGTGTTTCTCGCCATTATTGATGACCACTACTATTATCACCACTAATTTGATCCAATGGTGATAAACAATGCAATGTTCAGTGAAGTCAATGATTTAATTGATGTTATGTTTTGTCGTTCACTTCAACACTAAATTCAATACAACTTTTGTATGAAACTGAAAGCGTAATGAAAATATCACTTTATATTTAGGCCTTTTTATTATAAGGCATAATATACTAAAATAATGTTTTATCTCTAAGTATTAATTAGTACAAACATTTCGTAATAACTATAAAGCTTAACACTAATCACGTGAAACATTAGACAAAACATGTGATAATGTTTTGAATATTTATTACATTTATTGGTTTATTGATAATTAAGTGGTAATAATGTCTTCAAATGCATTACAACTTATTCATAGTCAGTATGGATCAGATTCAGACACAGACTCGGACTCAAACTCGATTCAAGTCATAACTGGCCGCCGATCACGAGAGCCATCGCCAGATGAGTCTTCATCTTCTTCGTCATCCGATTGGTGTTTGTCTTCAAGTGAAGACTCGGATGAAGACATCGACAAACACAAAGATGTTGAGTGTATTACCATAGAAGACGATGAAAATAAAGAGTTTAATAATGAACAAACAACGACAAGAAATAAACCTAAAAGACAAATAAAAACAAAGGGTGAACTAAGTCTCGATGATTTACCACCCATTGAAAAGTTGACAATTAGTGTCAAAATCGAAGAACTAACACAATTGGGAACCATTTCGTCAATTGTCGACCAATTGGTTGTCATTCAATCATTTAGATTAATGCCAGCTCTTGACTTAGATTCAGTGCTGTTCTTCAATAACGGTCAACCATTGGGACAGATATTTGATGTGTTTGGACCAGTGATTGAACCGCGATATGCGGTCCGATTTAACAGCAATCAAGACATTGTGGACGACAACATAATAGTTGGACAACCCATATATTATGCACCACAACAACAGCAACCGATAACAGGATTTATATTTGCTGAACAACTCCGACGATTGAAAGGATCAGATGCCTCGTGGCGTCACAATAACGAACCCCCCGAAGACTGTATCGAGTTTTCCGACGATGAGGCCGAACGACAGACAATGAAAAAGCTTCGGGCAAAGCGACCACACAATCAATTAAAACAACAAAAACGGCCGCAAAACAAATCAATCAATCATAGCAAACAAACTGTTAATTATTATAATCATACAAATACAGCACCGATAGATCAAGCATTACCCACATCTATAGTTCAATCAGCGATGCAAACAGTAGTTAATGGTACAGATAATCAACAAATGAATCAAAATAATGGTGTTTTAGATAATGTCATACCAGCACAATGTCAGCCAACAACTCAACAAACATATCAATTAAATTATAATTACTTTTTAAATTAATTTTAATTGTATAAATAATCATAATTTTTATGTATCATTATATTATGTTTATGCTATGTATATAATGTATAAAAATACAGTAAATATTATTTTATTAAACGAATATTTAGTATATGAAAAGATTTTTGTTGTTATAAATTGTCTTAAAAATTCTTTAATATTTTCTATATAAAAGTTATAATAAGCTTATTATATCATTTTGTCTTACGGTATACTGAATAATACTTTTATTAATTGGTATAATTGTATATTTAATGTGTTATAATATTACCGGTAAATGTAATTTACTAATATATAAGATATATTCGTAAGAATCATTAATCAATAAATTTTTATATTACCTGTATATGTATTATTATTACTGTAATTTATGAAATAATAATTTTGTTGGCGAATAGCTTATATATATATAATTGATTGATTGATATATAAACTCATTAATCAATAAATTGCATGTATTGTGGAAAACATCTTAAAATGATTGGCATACTTTCATTAAAGGTATGGCAATTGGGATCGATAGCGATGTCTGGTTATGTTTATTAAGTGCCGACACTCAATCACTAGCACACATACACATACATACACTTATTTTTATACCCGGCACCAGATATGAATTTTCATATATTGATTAAAATATTGAATAAATAATTGTATACAAAATTTATTATATTTAATGCATTAATTTATTACTAATAGAGTCAAATGTGATATAATATTAAATGCAATTATATAATGATTACCGGAACCTGATTTGGCTTAAAGGGATATAACGTTATAAATTGTATATATAATTGTTAAATGACTGAAACCATTGACTGGTTTTTTACTGCAACCAAAATCTTGTATATCATTAATTCCCATTACTAGAGTATAAGTTATATTATATACAGTATATATTGTACCTGTATTTGTTTTAGTTGATTATACATTTATTATACCCAGCATAAAAGCAATTCAATTTATTTAAAAATAATTATTATTAATATTAAAAAAGTATAGTTATATTGTTTTTTTCTAACTATCAATAAAATTCAATATAAGTTTTATTTGGAAATGCAAAATAAATTATAGTTATTTTAAGTTACTTAGAGTTAGACTATTGATTCAAGAAAATGATAGACTAACACATTAGATGCTCAATAAAATACTCCAATTTTTTCATATTATGCATTGTATGTACAGTACAATCATTATAATGGTATTAACTAATGAATATATATGAATGCAATTTATAAATGTATATCAAAAGATTTTGAATAACTCTTCAAAATGAGATTTATTGTGTATTATTATTCTGTTGAATTGAATTATTTAAATAAAAATATTATATTTTAATGAAAGAAAATTTTAGATAAAGTTATTTAAATAAACCAATATTATATAAGTAGTAAAACTATTCATGTTTAAAATGCATATTTGTTTGATAAAATATTTTATTATAAATATTCATATTTACATACAAATATTCATAATATGATTTTCATATAAAGTGTATTTATAGGCTAATTTATAAACAGTACTATATATAATATAATGTATACATTGTATAACTTTGGTATCTTAATAGAGATTCATTGCATACCTGAATACTGTGTTTGCTTATTACAGTATATATTGTATTGTCTATATATTTAGTATACATTTAGATAGAGTACTATTACTACTACTGATAAAATGATAAAACACTGTATCGTTATTAACAAAGAGAGCATTGAATACGAGAGAGAAATACAGTATAAATATTTTCATACATTAAATAATAATAATAATAGACTTTGTTATAACTATTTTTTGGCAAATAGTGTTTGCAATTAACATATTCAAAGCAATTAGTATTTCATAAGATTTCATCATTTTATTTCCAAGTATTGAAATTTTATTTCATTCCTAAAATTATTTATTTCAACTTGAAATAAATTTGAAATGTTATGAGTTAATAAAATTAAAAATGATAAAAATTGTTGAAATTAGTTGTTTAAAATTATAATAATTAAAAATCATAATTATAATTTTGTTTAAATAACTAAAGCTATTAAAAAATAAACTTAGCATCAAAATATTAACTTTTAAATAACATAAACTTATTTATATTGTGATTTCAATATATAAAATTTACATATTTATACAAACAATATAATCTAATAACTAAATACATTATACCTTATATGCAGTTCTAAAGATTTTTTCTAATTGAGTAAATTTTATATAAAAATAAAATATGTGTTGTGTTTGTGATTTTTGATATGAGAATGGGATATATCATATCATATATGTATAATTTAAGACATCCATTACAGGCCATCCCATCCCACACTCATAAGTCAATATAAGACAACAAAAAGAAAGTTTATTTAAACAGACAGGAAGTGCTCTTAAAGCGTTTTCAATAGGGTTGGTATATTACATACATAAGCTGTTAAATAACTTAATGTTACACAAATTCAGTCACAAGTAAATATAATCCTAATATTCTACATAGTATTTAATTATTAGTGATTATTTGAATTTTGTTGTTCATTTAAACAATTTAAAAGATTTAATTAATCAAATATTTATATTTTAATTTTTAGATTACAAAACAGTTTTGTAAAAATTATATACATATACATGTATTTATATCCAGTAATTTCCATACAATAAAATATTTTGTAAATTATTATTATATACATAATTTGTAAAATGTCAACTTTGGTTCTCATTGATTAACATTTATTTAGTCGCCATTCATAGAGTAAAAGAAAGAGAGAAGTGATGTGATGTGGATGTGATTCAGTTGTTTTTCACTCATGAGTGCCAACTAATGGTAACTCAATTTATTTGCTCAAACAACCAATACGTCCTTCACTTAAATGCCTGAATGAATGAGACTTTTTATATAATGTTTGTTATGTTGTGTAATGTTAAGCATTCTTTCCCATCCATTACTTATATTATCTCTCTTTTGCTTTTTTTCTTTGCATTCATTGAGAAATTACAGGTTTTGTCCCCCTTTTATAATACAAAAATATTTCTCACACACAATCACTTGAAATACAGGTACAGGAGATCAGCTCATCCCTGAAATGAATGACTCAAACTTGTTAACTATTTAAGGCCATAGACTTATATTCCTTTATCTATTAGACTATTACTCCATTATTTTAATGATTATTGAGTTAATTTCCTAATCACTGTCTCTGTCGTCAAAAATTTAAATGTAATATAATTAACAAACAGTAGTTATATTAATAAATAAAATGAGATGCTTATAAGTTATAACTCTCTCTCTCTTTCTCTCTCTCTCTCTCTCTCTCTCTCTCTCTCTCTCTCTCTCTCATCTCAACAAAATCTAAAGTTCAGAACTTCAGATATTATGTAAAATTATTTCATTCATAAACTGTTTGACTCAATATAATGTCTAAAAATCATTGTTATGATATTAAACATAAACATACCATATAGTAGTTTTTGTCATTATTTTAATGATGCATTAAATAAACAATGGGACAGTAAATAAATTTATGGGAAAACAGTTATTTTATTTAGAATTTAATCTCTAGAAAAATTAAGTTTTATTTGTTTTTTACTTATTTTATGTTTTCTGAAAATTAAAGCATAAATTATTTATATTTTTTCTCTTTCCTTTCCATACATTTTATTAGTTTAAACCAGATTTTTATGTTATTTAAAAATTATATATAACTCAGAGAAAATATTTAAGTTTTATTTTTTATAATCAGTAATATATATATCTTCTTTAAAATAAAGGAAACATTAGCTATATTACTGAATTACTTGTATAGCAAATTTTCAGCAAAACATATGTACATAAAATTTAAGGCATAATTATTAAATTATGATGCCTGATGTTATTAAAGCAAAATTTTTATGTATTTCATTTTTAAAAATAAGTTATTTTTTAAATAAATTATATTTAATTTCTTAAAAACCGCATAATTTTAAATTCTAAAATATATATTTTATGTAAATTTTTGTCTCATATATTGAAAAATTAATTTTATTATAATAAACTACAATAAGTCTATAATTAATAATTATAGACTTACTGTAGTTTTTTAATTATAAATATTTGATCACAAAATATATTTTGCAATCATAAACATCTGCAACAAAAGAAATTATTATTATAATTATATTATTATTACTGTATTAAAGTATCAAATTTATTTGAATTTTATGATTATATCGTGTCTGATAAGATTAATAAATTTTATAAAAATTAATACAAAATATAATAATCTTTAAATACACCATATTTTTTGTAAAGTTATCAATAAAATTATTTTTCAGAGAATCTCAATATTGAAAGTAATAGTCCATGTATTAAATTAAATAATGGTTAAAAGCAAATCAATTTTATGGTTAATTAAATAATAATAATAGTGATAGTGTGAAAAAATTACATAACTATCAACAGTTTTTTTACAAAGCCATAATAATCGGAATTTTTCAAAAATGGCAAAAATACAGGTGTTAATTAAAATATGTATAAATTTGTGTGTTTTTATTATGCAGTGAATTTATGTTAGAAATTTAGGTTATATTAAATATATATTTAAAAAAATAATCCAAAAGTAATGAGTAAAAAGAGAAATAAAAAAAGTAAATTTGACTAAATTGTGTGATTTGCTTATAAATTGTCAAAAAACACAAAACTATGACCCTGGTCATTATATATTACATTATATTATATTACATTATCATTGTCTTCAAAATGACCCCAAAATATGATTATTAATAAAAATTAAAAACAATTTATTTTAAAATATAAAAATAATTAATACTTGTAACTAATAAATAATTGTAACATTTGCTTTCTAAACACGATTTTTCCAACAAAAATAAGTTATGTTTGTTGTCTGATATGAGAAACTATTTACTAAAATGTTTGGTTTGAAATTAGGGAATAACCAAGTGTTTCATACCAATACATATATACCCTTAGGTGCCGGATAAGGGGGACAGATGTTTGATGGGGTCATCAAATTTTAGACAAAATGTTATCATTTTTGAATAAATGCTAACATTAATGATAATTGTTTAATTAATTATCAATTGTATGCTTTTGAATGATTCAAATATTAAACCCTTTTAAGTAAAACAAACAAAATATTGATATTAAGGGTATACTATATAATACATCTTATAATTTATAAATAAAGTGATAGTCCGGTCGGCAAACAGTGAAAAAAGGCAAACCTGTTGGCTATCCCTATGTGTGATAGCCATCCCCTCTCATAAAGAGAGTGACAGTGTGTATGTGTTTACCGAAAAACTATATAAGCGATGAATTCCTTTTTAGTTATGAGAAGCAAATCAAATGATAGCCTTAGGGCTAACTGTAGAGTAAAGGAAATAAATGCCACCAAATAATACTGATATTACTGCCTATGCTTTAAGCGTCATCACCGGTATTATCGCCATATACTGTACTATATGTAGTACAATGTGTACTGTAAATCAATGCTACGGTATGTATGAACACATTGCCAGTGCATATGTGAGCCGTGAGAGGGGGGACTGGCATTTGGGAATGTGCTGAGACTGCACTCACTCACTGACTGTGTCTGCCCTGTGCTGCCATTGAGAAGCACTGGTGTAGTCTATGTATGCCATACTGTATGGCCCATACATACTGTGTATTATTACTTTATACACAATGATTGTCTGCAAACACACACTCATTGATACCAATGCTTTGCACTTTTAGTTGACTCTAAGCTCTCAATGTTGTTGTGTTTGTTGTGAGAGAGAGACGACAACACAGTTGTGTTGGTGTTAGTGATTGTGGTATGTCTTGACTGGTCTTCACAATTGTCGACATATTGTCAATACTAGTGATGATAATTGTGTTTATTATGTTAATAGTGTTAACAATATATTAATTTCAATAATCAATGATATGATTGCTTATAAACCAATGAAATGACACCAAATGAGTGATCAATTGATGGCATTTACCAATTGAATGACATTTCTATCATTACATTCATTATAAGTGTTATTATAATTCAATTACTTTTTTCATGTTTTTATTATAATAAGGAAATCATTTTTTTCATTTACTTTTTTATATATATTTATTTTTATTAAAATTATATAATTGTGTGAACAATAATAACTTGTATTTTTTCATTTGTGATAAATATCGAGTCTAATAATAATATGAATACAATTTTCAAACACTTTAATTGAGTTTATTATTATTATTATTATTATTATTATTATTGTAATGATTTAGTAATAAAGACAAACAATAATAATATTTATATTAACTGAAAATTATAAACCATTTTCTTATGAAACAAAATATTTGCCAAAAACTTATTATAAACATAGCTATCAAATGAAAATGATTTTTCATTAATCTCTGTTTACTTTAATATTTAAATTGTATTTAAATATATATATATATATCATATCGTTTATGAAGAGAAATATAGATATAATGTCAATAATCAACGGTTTATTTATTCTCTGACCACTTGTTTGGTTAATCACATCCAAAGACTCGACCCGTAAACAAGTATTGGCAGTGAAGACACTCGGGAACTGAATTATTGGTCAAACAGTATGGATGTGTTGACAAGTAATTTGTTGACTGATCTGTTGGACAAAGCTCTTGAATGTCCGGTATGTTTGGATCAATTGGATGCGACGGCTCGGGTGCTGCCGTGTCAGCACACGTTTTGCCGCCGATGTCTGCTAGAGATCGTACATTCACGACGGGAACTGTTATGTCCCGAGTGTCGGGTTCAGTGCGTCACTCCTATCGATGAATTACCGCCCAATATATTACTTATCCGTCTTCTCGAAGGTATGCCTTATATAATGATATAAAACTATTCATTCATTTAAAATTGTTTGCCATATAAATGGCAAAACATTTACTTAACGCTCACGTTATTACATACATGAGGAAGGGGTGGGCGACAGTACTACGGGTGCGGTTTAGGGCTCACCTTATAGTTTAGCTACTAATCTCCCGACACTCACGTTATTATTATATTATTAATAACTCTTTTTTTTGTTAATTATATGTTAATGACGGACATATAATTTGTAAAGCAAAATGAAACTGTTTTTATTAGAGATATGCATAGATATTCATATAATTAGACTTAACTTGACTTATCATATGTTATCTAGGTTGTTTAATTATTAAATTACATTTTTGCACATTTACTTTATTTACATATTTTTATAATTTTATTCTATATAGTGATCATGTAATGAATGAAAAATTAATAAAAATGATTCAAACATGTAATTAATTAATTGTTATATTTTTCAATATATGAGTTGACTATTTATTTTTTTATAAAAAAACCTAAAAAGGCAAAGAAGGTCTGACCCCATCTACTCTCTGATCAATAATTATTAAAAAAAAATTAATAAGTTATGTTTCAATTGGTTGTCTTGAATTAATTAAAAATTTTATTTTTATAATTGAGACCCACTTTCTTCAATATCTTGAATTATTTGTCTCCAACTTTATATTTACTTTAACTTATGTATTATTATTATTATTATAATAGTTTTTATATTTATTTTTGTTATCGCATACATTATACTGTACTACTGGAATTATTATCATTATTTAATCTTCAATTATAATTTATGGTTGTATTATAAATTTTATTTTAAGTGCGATAATAAAAATAAAGTAAACAAAATGAGAAAATTTAATTAATTATTAAATGATTTTTAAACTTTGACTTTACTATTGTTTTTAGTTGTTTTACTACCGATTTTTTGTAAAAATTTTTATTCTCTTTTAAACGCAATTTTGAGTAAAATTTATAACAAACTCTTATCGATAAACTATTTATCACTTTTTATTACTATATTATTATATAATGCCTTTTGTGTTCATTTTTTGTATCTTTTATTTACTTTAATTACTATTTATTGTTTGCTTTTCCAAAACTTTGTGCTCTACAACATAATTATAAGAAAAAATGAAAGAGATATTGTTTTATTAGGTTTTTTAAGTTATATTACCAGTAATTTGTTTTTATATTTCAATATATTAATACAATAGATTATAGTTATTAAATAGAAATATATAATTTATTACTACTGTAACTACTTTACACTAAAATGTCAAAACAAATAGTAGTTATGCATCTTATAAATGCAAGTGTCATCCGTAATAAAATAGTAACAATGTTAGAGTATATTATAATAATGATGTTTATTATTTAGTTAGGATTTTCAAAATGATTTTTAATATATCAAATTTAAACATTTAACCCGTAATAATAATAATTGACATTTTTCTCGCATTTTCTTAACATTTTTAATGGCTTTTCCTTTTGAGTATTGATTTTGTAATCAAAACCACAAAATTTTTCTCATTTAAGTATCGATTTTTATTTGCTAGCAAAAGAAATGCCATACAAAATACATAAACCGTATCTAAAATGCTATTTATATGACCTTCCGTTTCATTGATAGACCATTATATTCAGCGACTCTTTCATTTAAATCAATCACTGAATCACTTTCATACATATATTGTGTAAATTATAGCGTATTTTTAGTCAAAATATTTTCATATTTTTTTGTTAATGATATTATAACCAAGCGGTTAATGTACTATAAGTTAAACAATAAGGTGTATTGTATTGTTGATTAAGTCATACATTTATGGGAGTATACCGTGACATGACTTTGACCGGACGAGACGTGTGTTGGGATAAAATAGTTTTGTCAATAGTATTGGGCTGACTGTGCTCTATACACAACAAATTGTATTATATAATGACAGCACATATATATACACATAATTAATGACATAGTATTGCAAATTCATTAATAATTAAATGCATTGTAAGAGAAATAGGAGAGACAATGGATTACTAGCTTTAATGACATTTTTGTGTCCATCAGATAAATCAGTTGTCAGTTTTGGACAAAGATATGGTTGTACTAAATGAATGCTAACACAAAGTTTTAAAATATTTAATCATTTATTGCTTAATGACTTAAAAATTATTATTAATTTGTTATATGATTATAATTAATAACTATAGGCATCAAAAGCAATAGGAAGCCATCGGGCGATCGCAATGATGGCCAACAACAGGGTATCAATGAATTGCTTCCGTTGAGTTCACAAACGAGTACATCGATGGCTGGCCTTTCCATAAATCAATTGTTTAATAAATCTCAACAACAAGTCATTACAAGTCAGTCAACGACAAAACAGTCTCAACCAAACCAAAGTCAAACAATACAACAACAACATCAACAACATGTCAGTCAAGAGCGAAATGTCGTCAAACAAAGCCAATCGTCATTAAGACACTCTATGGAGATGTTGAGTACATCTATTGAAGAAGACGAAGAGAGCCAGTGGTCCACTGAGTTCGCCCGTACGGCAGTCATACGCAAGAGTTTAAGAGAAAATAATCACAATTACAACAATAATAATAATACTAATAATAATAACAATAATAATCATAACAACAATATAAACTTAAAAGAAGTGCAAAATACATGTCCACCCAATGAAACACAACAACAACAACAGTCAACAAATATACTGTACGTGCCGTTTGTCTTAACTAAATAGATGTTTAATTTATAGTAAAAGCCATACCAAACAAAAATAGAAAAAACATCTTTTATTAGATTAGGTTTCAATCATGTTTGCTATGTATTTGTGCTTTAACTGCTATAATATGTATTTAACTGCATTTTTATGTTTGAATCCATAGCTATAGTTTACACCAAATCCTATCTGCTCATGACTTTTGGCTTATAAATAACTAACTGATGACTTTATTAATATAATTTTGTATTAAATTAGTTTATATAATAGTAACTGTTTAATAATAAATTAATTAATTCCGAGTCTAGCATTAAGGGAGTAATGAAATTTTATTTGTAATGAAGTAATAATAAGTTCTTTAATTTATTTATATTTATTAAACACTAGACTATTAGCTATAAAAATGAATCAAATGGTGGGAATTGTTATTAGTATTTGAGACTTTAGGAACACATTTGAAACAAATTTTGTTTTATTTAATTTTACTAATTATGTTATGTTATAAATGACTACAATTTAATAATATATATTAATTTTATTTGACTGGACATCTCTTGTCGTGTCTGTCGATGCCATGGTTTTGTTTGTTTTGTATTGTATGGCGCTATCAATTGGTCGTATCAATAGCTATGTTGCACTGTATAACTATAGGCCGCAAAAGAAAGATGAGTTAGAATTACGAAAAGGAGAGCTCTATTCGGTCGGTCAGAAATGTCACGACGGATGGTATAAAGGGGTGTCACTAAAGAGCGGCACATTTGGTGTATTTCCCGGAAATTATGTCCAATTAGCCAAGTATTGCATTGCTTTATATGTCACTATTAGTACTGTTATATTGTTTACTATATAACTAATATATATATTTATTTATATATTATCTATTTATTTGTTAACATAGGATGACGGTTCCTGTGTCTCAATATCACTGTGCAGTTAATGTCAGTAATGTAGTGACACCGCAATCCATAATAAATGTAAAGCCAATGTCTCAGAATAACCAATTGTCTAAAGAGCCACCGGTTTTAAAGCCAAAGCCTGTACTACAGTCCAAGCCATCAATAAATCCAGTATTAGGTGATACTGGTGTTCAGTCAAACACTGCCACAGACAATGCAACAGTCTATGCACGACCGCGACCTACTGGTCAACCCATTTACGACATGTCTCGAAATTTAACATCATTAGTACCCCCACCACCACCCACTCAACGACCCTCTCGTCCATTAAGTAGTATTATAGTGCCTAATAAACCATCGGTTGATCCAAACTCACCACAAAGTCAATTGGCTCAAGCAATCAATCAGTCACTTCTAATCTCGAAACAGCAGTCAACATCCCAGTCCTCACTTACTCAAAGGTCAGCATAACTTATAAATATGTCTTAATTTAATTATATTAATTAATAACTTGTTTTTGTCATTAAATTATTATTAATAATTTATTGATTATCAATGAATAATCATATAAAAACAAATTCATTATTTTATATGATTTAAAGGACAAAAAGTTTTGGAATTATTTCGATATTATTGTTCTTAAATTACAATTAAATCATTAATCACTTTAAGTAATTGATTTTGAAATTAAAAATAGTTTGCAAACTATGTCTTTAATAATACAAATGATTTTTATATTGATTAATGAGTTGTATAAGACATTTCTGTTATTTTCAACGATTACTTATCCTAACAAATGTTGTGTTAATGATCTCTATTTTCAACTAAAAACATTGATATTAATTGAAATAATTTTTATATTAACAATTTTAACTATGATGTTTTATAGAAACCAAATATATAGAGAAATAATGTATTATTAACTCAATATTTCAGTTTTTATATTAGATGTGTCCCTAAAGGGAAAGAGAGAGAGAGAGAGAGTAATCTTGAGTTCCGGTAATATTCTCACCGATTATATAATAATTTTGTACATAATTATAAATATTAGTATAATATGATATAAAAAGCTAAATTCATATGCTTTTACTAAATGTTTAATGAAATACTATACTTACTATACTTTATTTAAATGAGAAAACCATTAGAGTTTGAATAGGCTTTAGAGGAGTAGACATGCATTTGATGCCAACATTTAATTCACTTTAATGTTTTCCGAGAAACAACTTTTTTAAATATAATTTTTTATTGTAAGTTATTTTAATGGGAATTACTGACAAAAGTATTATAATTTTATTAGAATTATTATTTATACAAAGTATATAATGTATAAATATTTTGCTCATAAAGATTACAACTATTAGTATTTTTTAAAGTCAAAAATTTATTTCTCATATGAAAAGTGTTATTAAAATGACATTAAAGTCTTGAATATCATTATAAGTTCTCAAATGTTTTTCATAATATTAACAATGAATTTTTATATCTACTATCAAATCGCAAAATATGTTTTTTTGTAGTGATGTATAATATATGATATATCATAATTATATATTTATGATGATTTAATAGCATTTAAATAAGATATTAAAATATAAATTTTATTTTATTTATATACATGATTACATATATAAAGTACTCAATGGCATCAGCCGAAAGTGGCCGCAACCCGAAACACGCTATCTATGATATCAAACACATCAATAACACCACCGCCTAACGTGTCGGTCGTGTCGTCGTCTTCATCATCATCGATGTCGACACAGAGCAGTCATAAGCCACCAATTGATAAAAAGGAGGCTAAAACTAAAGACAAATCAAATTTTATCAAACGTTTCACTTCAGGAATACCTAAACGCAAAAATCAATTGAACACTAATAATAGTTTTTCATGTGATAATCCATCGTTTGTGGACACATCTCCCAATAGTACCAATAGTACGGCTCCATTACATGTTAGGTCGGGTTCGTGTCCTAACGAGTCTTTTACTGAATCGGCCGCACATAAAAAGCAATCGTCTTTTGATGACTCAAATACTGTAAGTTTTATTTGTTTATAAAATTTGTGAAAACAAATAGCTTGTCTCATACTTTACTAATCATCACTTCCGATGACATACACTAATCATACACTTATAAGTACTATTGAGTTAATCTATTTTTCACATTCACTCAGTTATATAAAAATAATAGATAAATATTTTGATAATTAATTATATGATATGATGTGAAAACAGGTCATTAAGAATCGAATGACTTCCAAAACATTGATGAAAGAGGTTTCACCACAAGTGTCGCAACCGATAGGACCTCCAGTGGTTAAGGAAAGGTTTCGTTGTGTTGTGCCTTATCCACCAAATAGTGACTATGAATTGCAGTTACAAATAGGTGATGTAGTTTATGTCCATAAGAAACGAGAGGACGGTTGGTATAAGGGAACACTACAGCGTACCGGAAAAACTGGCCTTTTTCCCGGTCCTTTTGTTGAGAGCTTTTAATGGCCACTTAACCCACAATTGACTATCCAATCATTGCAATTATTCATGAGTCCCGACCTCTCAATCCATACCATAAGTCAAATATCTGACTTTCCATTTGAAAATTTACTCTTTTACTCAAATCTTTTATTAAGTTATTATTGTTTGTTATTACAGTATATAATATATTGTTATTATTTGTTGTATTACACTCTTGACAACCACTGACATCAAAATTACTATTATATCTGTTATATATTTTTCAGTGTTTTGTTGTGTTGTTTAAAGTGTTTTTCGCAAAACTTTTTATTGATCTTTGTTTAAAAATAATAATTTGAAAGATTTAACCAAATATAGCGAACAAATTGTTAGATAAAAGTAATTTAAGTCTTAAAAACTCATTTTTGAATTTATTATTAATTAATGCTTTTAATGATTGTTTATGGATTATATTTAAAGATGTGTGAAAAACGATTTAAGCAATTTTAAGACAATTTATAATCAAATTTATGCAAAAAACTTATGCTTTTATTTTAGGTTTACTTTTTTAATATAATTATAATTCATTTTAGTTAACAAATAAGTTGTTTTAACTTTTAAATTTAAGTTGTTTTATACGAAAACAATTTTGTAATTCAATTATGAATTGGTTTTTTGTTTGAAATTTAATGTTTGAATTTATTCAATTAATTAACATTGATTTTTAATTTTGTAAAAAGTGTTGCGACTCTATTGAGGCCAACATTTCTATCGTTGATTATACTTTATATATATATGTTATATATAATATATTATATAATGATAAAACAAATATACTTGTATTTAAATAATGCCAACAATTTTTATATGTATTATACAATTATTAAATGATTAATAATTACACATTTGCGATATAATACTTATATAGGAAAAATTAGTAAATAAGTGATAATAAATTGATAGAAAGTTGTGAAATCATTGTTTTAAAATAACTAATCATTAATTATTTATTTTAACAAAATAATAAGCCAATATAAAAATGATCAATTTTTGAATATAATTTATTGATAAATATTTTGAGTCATTGTAATTACCGTAATAACAAAAAAAAACATTGACATTTACCGTAATAAATAATACAAATTTGAATTATTTTTTTAATAGATATTATAATAAATATAATTTAAAGTTATGTGTTTTATAATGCGTTATTAGTAAGTATAAAATGGCAGTCAATAAAACTGGTCCGATAAGGATGTCGTTTGTTGTCCATTGCTATCAATACTACATCCAATTTACAGGATATTTATCATTGAAAAGAAATCATAATTTAAATTAATTTTATATACTCTCTAGTGTTGCAAAATTTTGAAACATTTTGGGAACAGTGACGGTAAGAATTATATTAACATATTCTGTAAAACACTTGCACTTAATAATAGCGATTTAACACATCATTAAATTTTAAAACTACCGGTATTTTATTTTTACAATTATGGCCACAATTTACAAAATAAATTGTTATAAATTTAATGATGTGTTAAATATCTATTAACTCAATTTTTTAATGTACAACTTTTGCAATTTTCAAAAATAATTGATTTTACTCTGAAAAAAATTAAATTTTTGTGGACAACTTTGTCTATTAAACAAATAATTTTAAATTATTTATAAATTTGAATAAATCATCTAATGTGGAGAACATGTTAAATTATGAATCAAAAATAATACATAACAAAAATTAAATATAAATGAAAATTATTTGTTCAAAAATACAGAATATTTACAAATTGTTTGATTCTTTGATGACCACAAAGTATTATATTTTAGGTAATAGTTATAACAATTTAAAGCAATTATTTTACATTTAATGAGATTTCATATTCATTAGAAAATTTATATCAATTAATGTGAGACAAACTTCAAGTGATCGCGACTCGTGTTGTGCCGAATAATAGCAAAAAGAGCCGAATCAATGGTCTCACAAGCTATCGATTTGTTACATTTAAGACATACATAAGCGTCAGCACCGATACCATCCTTAAGTCGGATGCCTTTATCTCTTAAGTCAATCTTCGTCTTATTGTCTAATCGTTGTAATGCTTCCATACGAGCGAATCCAATGTCCAATTCGTCAATGCGATCACTCTTTACAGTAAACATGGCCTCAATGGGAGTCATATACTCTCCCCTTCGGATCTTTTTATGAAATGAACGGTTCACGTGATATAATGCCGTCTCTTTACTATAGAAATTGGTGTTACAGAACAAACAGTGATAATAAATGTCAGGAATCTCTTCATCACAATCGACAGACAAGTGTTTGTGAACAGATTTATCACATTTCTTGTATTTGATACCTTCATTGCGAAGAATTGAATCGATTGACTCACAATTACTTTCCAATTGTTTGATAAATAGCTCAAAATCGGCACTCTTTTCAATGTCCAACTCATCGGCGATCGAATCGCTGTTTTTGTTAAGCAATGAGTTCTTAATTTTCTTAAAATCTTTCAAATGATTCTTACAGTCACTTAATCTTTCAAACAAGACGTTGCATTTGGTACAGACATAAGCATTGGCACCCAAACCATCCTTCACTTTCATGCCGTGACTCAAGAACTCTTCCTTCACTGTATAGGGAATCTCACGAATGGCTTCAATTCGGGCCAAAAGACAATCGATTTCGGAACTGTTTGACGATTCTGTAACAATCAATCGATCGATTCCTTTGAATGGCATTTCAGTCTTCCATTTGATGTGTTCTTCACTCTCGATGTGTTTGAATGACTTCGATATGCTTTTGGTATAGAAATCACAGAAACGACACTTCATTACAAACTTATGCTTACTTTTAGGTATCACTTGAAAGCCCTGTCTTTCTAATTGTTTAACTTTGTCGGCCACGTCTTCGGGTACTTTAAAATCAACAATTTTAGTGTCACTAATATCGTCACTATTTGTAACATTCTTTGCTGTCCTTTTATCACTAGTCGGACACTCATTAATAGACTCATTGGTTGGCATTGGTTTCTGATTGATGTAATGATTGAAATGTTGAACCATTTGGAGTGAGTCATGAAATGATTGGTCGCATCGGATGCATACATAAGACTGGGAACCGATGCCATCCTTCAGACGAATGCCGTGTTTTATAAAAATTCGTTTCTCTTTTTCCCCAAATTTACTCAACTCTTGCTTTCGACTCAGTAAACAACGAATATCCTTCTTGTCTCTGATTTCAGCCAAAAACTGTTTATCGATTTCATCAAAACTGTCTTCACGTTTGTTCTTCATATGTTCAAAGCTCTGGATATGTTTGACGGCGTCAGTCATTGTGGTAAACGTTTTGCCACACAATTCACAACAAGTTTTCTCTTCTTTAACAACAATTCCTTCGTTTTTAAAAGCATTGTGTGATTCCTTACGTCTGGACTCGCGATCCGACTCTTTCTTATAACTGCTGCTGTGTTTAGACTTCTTGTACTCATTGTTTGAATGATGTGTTGTCTGTACAGACGATCCACTGGTCGTCGCATCGTTTGATGGTTTAAATGATGAGACAAATTGTTGACCACTTTTATCCCTATTATCATCTGATTTGTGTCGTTTCGCACGTGAATTGTTGTCTATATTATCGATTCTTTCAGTTGACTGGTCTTTGTCTTTATCGACATCTGGCGGTAAATTTACTCGAATTCTGGCCAAACATTTGATTGGTGCCCCGAAACTGGTCAACGGCTTGAAGTGGTCGCCGTCAAACATCTCGAAGACGTGTGTCTCGTGAGAAATGTTGAGTTTGGGATCACATGTCTTACATATTTGTCGATAGACATCACCAAAGTTGACACAATTGATCTTCTTGTTGATGACAATCGTCCACTTCTTCTTATTGATGGTCACATAGCACTCAAACTTAGAGGACATCGTCGGACACAACACTAGTTATGACCAAAACTGCAACAAAACGTTGGATTTGTTTTCAAACCAACGATCAACTCATGCCTTACAACACGTGTTACGCCCTCTTGTGTTACGAGTGACACGTGTTTCTGTTGTCAAAACTTTTCGCAAACTTTTGAAAAAAGTGAATATTTTATAGTTTTCTTATATTATTATATTATTCAATGTTTTTAATAATTAATAATATATTAAATTCAAAATTAATAAAAATAATTATTTTATAAATTTGATTAAAAATACTTTATATTAAATTATTAATAGTTTTATTTGTGTTATTAATAAATCAAATATTTATATTAATAGGTAAACTATTTTTTTAAGTAAACATAATTAGTTATCGCCTAATATATAAATTATATGTGTATTTTAAATATAACATGAAATATATTTATATTATTTAAAATCTAAATTTATAAATATATTAAATAATTATGTCGACAATAATAAAATTATGAAAATTAATAAAATTTATTGTATTTGTTATAAATTCATATCAAAATTGAGATTTTTTTCGAGAAAATCTTAAACAACGGCTATGCTATTAATTACAATTATCTGGTCAACAATACGTTGAATTAAAAAGTGACCAAGGGCAATGTTGTAGATAATTTTAAACTAAATAAAATTGTAATTGGTCATTTTTTAATTAATTGTATGATTTGCCAGATAATTGCAGTCGACTATCATTTATAAATTTTTTAAACAGTCGACTGTAAATTATCTGGCATATAATACAATTAATTAAAAAATGACCAATTACAATTTTATTTAGTTTAAATTTATCTACAACATTGCCCTTGGTCACTTTTAAATTCAACGTATTGTTGACCAAATAATTGTAATTAATAGCATCGCCGCTATCATCGCCGTCGCCGATGTTTAAGAGTCTCTGAGTTTTTTCTATTACATAACGTTTGAAATAAAAATTATTATTAGAATCGTCTAATAGATGTCAGTATATATATCGTATGGATTAATAAATATACATATATTTAATACAATACTTTTCTATTGTATGATTCATACAGTATTAACACTGATTTCATTTGATATAATAACTACAATATTAGTCAACTATTGTAATAATAAATTAGTTTTTATATTTATTTCTAATTAATTAATTTTCATTAATATTATGATAATATATTTTTTAAAAACTTCTGTTATTTTAAAAACATTTCTGATATTATTATAATTTTATTATACTTAATAAGTATAACTTATTATAATATAATATATTATAAATCAAATAATTAGCTTTTATATAATTGGATAATTTTTAATTTAAATGTGGGATAAGTATTATACAATAATAATGATAGTTTTTCGTAAGATTTTAGTTTAAAATTGTAATCCATTATTAATAGACATAATATATTTGAAGATTTAAATAATATTAAAATACTACAAATGAAAATTTTAGAAAAACAATAAAAACACATTAAATATGATTAGAGAGAAACTGTTAAATACATTAAAATGCGATTATTAAACGATATTTGATATTTTAATAATCTTCAAAAGATATTTTTGTAACTAAAATATCAAATTACTATTTATTTATTTAAGTGTAAAATTCATTATCATATTAAAAAAGTCAAGATTTAAAACAATTTTTTTATATTTGTGCCCCACTTCTAAGCTATCAAATAAAATAAACCAAAAAACAGATAATTGTATTGAATTTTATTATAACTATCAATATTATAAATTATATAAAGTACTGAATATAACTAAATATAGATATTTGTGAGAAGTTTTTTAATTCTGGGAATTGAGTTAATGATACAATCGATATCAATACATTCAATATAAAGTTTATATATATATATATAAAGTCAAATATATCAACAAAAATATTTTTAAGTTTTGTAATAAAAATTTATGATATGCTTTAAAACTCCACTTTCTTTATATACACAATATATGCTTATATTAAGCAAATTGTAAAATCCATTTAAAACTTGTTGACGTGAATAGTCTAAAAACATTAATATGATTATAACATATAATACATAACTTAAAAAAATTAAACAACATATATATAATATATTGTGAAACATAAATATAAATCAAATCGTTATATTAATTCCGATATTTGAACCCATAATTTCAAATCAGTTAATTTTGTGTCAAATATTTTCAATAATATCAAGAAATTTTTATAACAGATATGATTTCCGAAGATTTAATTATATTTTCCAGAAAAACATCAATATTTATAGATTTTTATATTGTATATAAAAAGTTTTGACATAAAAAACAATCAATAAAAATAATAAACTTTTATTATTACATATTACATATTGATAACTTTTGTATTAATTTAACTGAACTATATTTATGTACTAAATTTAATAGTATATCTAATGTACAGTATTTAGAGTTAGAATAACACTGTTTTTAATACATAAAAATTATAAATATATAATATATATTATATATAATTCTCGAGTTTTTATATACATGTATAATATTTTAAATTTATTTTTTTAGTATTTTACTTTTCAATTGTTATTGTTATGCTTAGAAAAATATCAGTAAACAAAATAATAATGTGAAAATGATAATAATAATAATAGAATACATTTATTACAGTATAAAAATAAAAAACTATTTCTATATTTAACTGACATTATTATTATATAGTATTTTGTTTATGTTTTCAATTTATAATTATATATTTCTGATAAAATATATAAATGATTTTTTTTGTATAATTATTAAATATATAACTATTTGGTTATTTTGGAAATATGTGTGTCTTCGCAATTGAAATGTTGTTTAACTGGAAAACAACTGTCCTTTTAGTACATGAAAACATTTGTTGTGAAAAAATAATTATTTGAATCAAAATTGAAAGGAAGGGAAGTCAATATTTACTAACAATAATAATGTAGTCACCAATGGTATTACAACTCTGATGATAATCATGGAAATGGAGGTAATGGTGGAAATGGTGTTAACCTTGAAATAGATTTTTTTCTTCTTTTATTATACTCAAAGTCTTCAGAGACATAAAAATTATTTTTACTGATTATCTTAGTTTTCTACTCTCCCTTTCTATAAACTACTTTTCCTTACTTTCCTATCTCTGTGCTCTCTCTCTCTCTCTCTCTTTCTTTCTTTCTTTCTGTCTGTCTGTCTATCTATCTATCTATCTATCTATCTATCTATCTTTCAGTTTGTAATCTGCCATCAAATTGTTAACATTTGAAAAAGTAATCATAAATGTTATAAATATTTTTGTTTCAGCAAATGAATGGTCGATGTTTTCTGGCATATAATTCATGGCTTTTCACCAAAAATGATGATCTTTTTTCATTGAATGTTAGTTACAATATATTTTATAGAGTGAGTCATTAAAAATATAGTATAAAACAACACTTTTAATAAGTGTCTCATAAATTGTCAAATAAAAAATGTTTTCCACTATTTTGTTGAATACACACATACTGTATATTATAATAATATATAACACACGGCACGGGTATCTAAAACAGTTAGCTTCCATAATGAAAGACTGTATTCTCTCTAACAAAACAACCGTATTATTGGTCCCCAAAAAATATGTTCCAAAATGTGTGCTTCCTTTCTGTGCCAGTAATCACATGTTTGACCCAATTTTGAGGATATTATAAATGTGTTGGGGGTATGAAAGGGGTGTCAGCTGTGGGCAAAAGGATAGGGGAAACATATGAAAAGATACGGGAAGGGAATCACGTATTCAATTGAATACTATTGAAGGAAAGTAAGCCCAACCGTATAGTATGGTTGTGTTCAAGGACATAGGGGTTGGGGTCCACTTTACTTTATATAGAAAGGGCATATGTTATAGTATCAAACAGTTGCTACTTAGGTCCTAAAGACGCCCAAAATTTATCGATTATTATATAAATAAAATATCCGAGAGATGGGAACTAATGTTTTGGAGAGTCATGTGAGTGGAAAGGGAGAGCAAATGGAAAATAGATACAAACCTTTCCGGTATAGGAAATACTGTATACACTGATATTATACTTCCGCAATGAAATACATATACTGTAGTATTTTAACAACAACTTTACCCTCAATACAAACACACACACACACACACACACACACACACACACACACACACACACACACAGCAACTTTTAAGTCCCTAATAAGGCCTCTCGTGTGCCCTACCAGTTCATCATAGGCTTCAATTAGGTACCAGTGAACACATACGGTAGTTGACAATCATGAGAGAGAGAGAGAGAGAAAGAGAGAAAGAAAGAGAGAGAGAGAGAGAGAGAGAGAGAGAGAAAGAAAGAAAGAGAGAGAGAGTTCTTTATGATGTTTTAAAAAATGACTGTAAGCTTACAGTTATTACCAAAGCTATAATTTTTTTACAAAAGTGACAAAAATAGTAGTCATATAATATAAAAATTTATATTTGGTATTCCCGTCCCTCAAATAATATCCACTATTTTGTGGTAACCTTTGCACTATTATCAGAAGGAAAGTCAATGATTTATTGAAGATATATGTAATTTTTGTGGGGAAAGTTACCGTTAATTTTGTGATTAATACACAACAGTTTAAAAATGTCTTTTGTCCACAATTTTCTCAGATTTTATTAAGATTTTCACTAACAATGTGATTATGGTTTATATAAACGATATTTTAAGTATATTTTTTAACTATAATTTTGTGTAAATTTAAATGTAATAAATTATTGTATTACTCAAAATATTAGTAGTATTACTTAAAATGTTCTATACTGTACATATTATTTAGCTTTAATTATTAAATTTAAGTAATAATTAATAAGGTTATAAATAAAATTAATCATTTTAACTGTAATAAGTGTATATTTGACTATTATGATAAATATAATAAAAATGTGGGACATATCATAAAAAGAGATGAGAGGCACTTGAAATCATGAGTTATAGTACAATATATGCTTTAAACATATTTTTGGTGTAAATTTTATATTTATATCCGATATAATAACAATCATATCGAGATATACAATGAGGAAATAGAAAGATATGTGAAAATGTTTAATAAATAGGATATAAATTACAACATAAGGTATTGACTATTA